ACAAATTCCTATTTGAAAGCTATTGTTAGTGTACAAGAAAAGTTTTAAAATTTGAAATCCAAGATTAGTATAACACTGCAACCAATATATTATGTGTACACATATTTTCATAATTTTAAGACATCCTTCCATTCATACGTATAAAACTACGTTCTGCTTTGCCTTTCTAACACTATATATATATATATATATAGAGAGAGAGAGAGAGAGAGAGAGAGAATATTGAGTACTTAATCCTACCATTGTTCTTTAATCAAAAGAAAATTTACTTAACTTTGCCTCACTTTCAGCTTAGTAAAAAAATTGTGCTGCTGTTGTCAAAGAATTTCAACATGTTTCTTGGTGTATAAATGGAGTCTGATATAGAATTAGAGACCCTATAAGAACCTTTGCCTACCTAATCAATAAGCTTCTTGAGAAATTATTTTTTAAAGCTGAAAATAAATTGCACTAAGCATGAATTCAGGGAGTATTATGTGATTTATTGATGACAGCCTTCAAATAAGGTGCTTGTTAAAGGGGATGATAGAATGAAATTCTGGATTCCTTGAAACTCAGACCTACACATTTGTTTGAAATGTACAAAGCACGGAAAACATCTAGTTTTGTTTGGTATATTTCCTGTATTTGAAAATATTCTATATCATAATATATTTATTTATCTCATAATGCCTTTTCATTTGGGTTGAATTCATTTCTATCACCTACTTACTCCCATTTGCTTTTTGCTTCTGAATAGAAACAAACTCAAAGCCTATCTCATCATTAAAGTTCATCAGTGATTCAGAGTTGATTAAAAACAATACAGAATTCAACATAGAAGTTAGATCTTAATGCAGAATGCACATGGCATTTCAGTACTATTGGTGTTAATACGTAATGAGTTACAAAACTAAGGCTTAGGAATGTTTCAAAATAATTCAAATTTTGAAGTACAGTTTTATCAGGAAGTATATATTTCTGATATATCCCCAAAACTCAGTATTTTATAAAACACACACACACACATCCACTATATATATATATATATACATATATATATATACACCATTACCTTAAAAAAAAAGTGTTAAACTTTGCTTACACAAAGTCCACATGTATTTCTATTCTTTGAATAATTGTTTCCTACTTCTAATGTGTAAATTATGTTTTCTTTGTCCTCTAGAGAACAGAAACACAGGAGTAGTGTTTGGGGCCATTTTAGGTGCTATTCTGGGTGCTTCATTGCTTAGTCTTGTTGGCTACCTTTTATGTGGAAAAAGGAAAACAGATTCATTTTCCCATCGGCGACTTTATGACGACAGAAATGAACCAGGTAAAAACAACTTTCAGAACTTCACCTGTACACACTGGTTTTAATTAAGTGAAGATGCTAATGTTCACTGCATTATCTAGATGGGATTTAGAGAGTCACACGACAGAAACGAACTTAAGATTTATTCTGATCTACTCTCTTTTTCAAAGAATATAACCAAAATAACTATGGGCCTGTTAGTGAAGTTTTAAAACCATTTGGAACTGTTGCTCATCACATCACAATTGGTTTTAAGTAATAATCCCAGAACCTAAAACATAGCATTTTATCAATAGTGTCATTCACTCAGTCGTGTCTGACTCTTTGCAATCTTATAGACTATATGTAGCCCACCCCACACTCCTCTGTCCAGGAGTGTGGCAAGAATACTGGAATAGGCTGCCATTTCCTCCTCCAGGGTATCTTCCCAACCCCCTGGAAGGATCGAATCCAGGTCTCCTGCATAGCAGACAGTTTCTTTACCATCTGAACCATCAGAGAAGCCAATGAAAAGACAACGGTATGATATTAAGAACAAAATTGCCAATTTGTAAGCAAAAAACTGTGGAGCCATTCTCCATCATTGTTGGATCTCTTAGTAGCAGGATTTTGAAAAATGATTTATTCTAATTAGATGCTCTTCCAAAGTTTACACATATACAACAAAGTTTACACATATACAATAGCTCTCTATTAATTATCTTGATGAGGTTCTAAAAAAGAATTTCTGAAGAGTTGTATATTTGGGTACATAAAGTCAGATATACCTTAATTCATAAATTTCCCAATCACGTGATGGAAAAAAAAGCACCACATCTATGAATGAGAAATGTGTCTGCTAAGAATAAAGTACTGAGTTTGATCAGTACTAACTAGAACAGAAATGAAATCACTTCAAAAGCTTGACTCATCTCTTTTTAAAAAAATATTTCAGGACAAAAAAAAAATCTGATTTTTGGCTTACCCAGTAGACTCTTGCTACCATCAAAATATAATTAAATGCCCCTGTTGAGTCCTATTGATAAAATCTTGTTGAATTTTTATAAGTTTGGATCATTACTGATATATTGCTGATTTTCAAAAGCAAACCCATTAGTTGTAAATTTAACTGAACTCTGTTCATCTACATCCTGGCCTTTTCAAATCTGTTTACGGATTTCTAGCAATCCATAGAAAATAAAAAGTAGCACTTTTCCAAACTGAACGACAGGATTTCAAGCTTTAGGGGCTTCCAAACTTTTTTTTTAACTTCATAATATTTTCTTTAAATGTTATCAGATGTAAAAGGTCAGTCTGTCAACTTTATACAATCCAAGGTGTTGTAATTGAGGCATAAGGGAATAATTCAATCACAATAGTTTTACTTTTTCAAGGTAACTTTGTATCACCCCTTCCAAATCCCTAAGGCTCCTGGGAGCCTAGTTTGTAAACAGAAGGCTTAAGGACTAGGTAGGATCTGACACTACCTAGCTGAATAATTAGATGACTAATCTAGCTAGTAAATAGTCACTGTTTTAGTATTCAGAAGCCCAGAACATTCCAAGTTATTTATAAAAATAAATTCAAGATCATTAAGGAAATAATAATTAGTTGTTTGTGGAAAGAAAAAAAAACACTAATCATGTTATTAGTTAGAAAACCTTAAGTGTATGATAACCTGGATCTATCAGAAGCAAACAGAAGATTTTATAATTTTTTTTCATCTTCGTTGCTCACCCGTAAAGATATTAAGACACTTGCTAAAATAATGACACTGATTTTAAAAGTAAAGCTCTTCATTTTTTAAAAATCACTTTTACACCAGAAGTAAAAATTCTGAAGATGTTGGGAATTCCCTGGTGGTTAGGACTCTATGCTTTCATTGCTGTGGGCCCAAGTTCTAGCTCTGGTCAGGAACTAGGATCCCACAAATGCACAGCATGACTAAATTAAAAAAAAAATTCTGAACTTGTTGACATGGTTCTGAATTCACAAGATTCAAAAGTCAATGAGACATGTTAATACTTCCTTATACCAAATATTGCTAGACTTCTGTTGTGATCTCTCCCACAGTTCCTTTATGTTTGGACCACCAGCAGTGAAATTTTGGAAGTTAAACTGTTCTTAGTTTTAGAAAGAAAAATGTGGCTTGATAAATAACTACTTATTTAAAGTCAAAGCCAGTATCTGAAAATATCACATAAAAATGTAACTATTTGCTCATCCAGAACAATTCCTATGGTCTAGCAGATGCCGGAGTGTACATTCCAGACTGTCACTATAAAACAATTTTTTGTGTTGCTTTTTTAGTTCTGCGATTAGATAATGCACCGGAACCTTATGATGTGAGTTTTGGGAATTCTAGTTATTACAACCCAACTGCAAATGATTCATCTACTTCAGCAGGCGGAGAAAACGCACATGACGGCATTCCTATGGATGACATACCTCCACTTCGTACCTCAGTGTAAAACTTAGGGGGAAAGGGCTGCAGATGCAGTGTTCATCTACATTCTGGCTTTTTCAAATCCATCTTCCAAACACTGAAGCAAGACCACTGTCACATGGCCTGTGTCAAGGAGAACTGTAAAAGCATGAGGCTACTAGCAAAAACATAAACAGAGGATAAATCACCCAAAAGGTTTCCTTTCTTGCCAGTTTTGGCTATGCTGATTCATCCATTGAGAAATCTTTATTAGTATTTTGGCCTAGTTTTTTCTTAGTAGGAAATACGTATGGAATCAGGTAAAACTAAAAGACTTCACCATGATTGCCCTGCCTGACTAATTAAAAAATCCTTCAATGACAATAGGAACTGCAAATTACATTTTTACTTTTTGGGTGAGGGGGTAGACAGAAATCAATGGATTAACTCTTCATCACTCCCTTTGTAGTCTTAATGTATTTTCCTGAAGGAAAATTATAAGGATGATTTTTTTTTTTTTAATTTTGACTTAAAACTAGAAAGAGTATGGCACAGAGTTTGTGTTCCTGGGAAATTAAGGCAATGGGAGTGAAAAATTTGTATTCTAGTACATTTTATTTTTCTGTATCAGCAGGTATATAGTAAAGTCCTTGAGTTGCCAAGTTGATAACTTTGCATTCAACAGACCATCGTGGGAAAGTTGACCCTACCCAGGAAAGTAATCACTTCTTTTCAAATCATGGGAAATTCCAATCTGTAATTTACTTTAGGTCTCAATTAATTGGGTTCTTTAAAAACTCAATGAGAAACTTCCTGAAAAAGTCAGCCAATACATATACCTAAGCATAATTTTTACAGCTTTAAGATGTTAGATAGGAACAGGATTTATTTAGTATTAGACATTGTTGCTCAATCATATACGGAATAGATTCTGTATCTCTAAGTGCATAAAATGTAAGGTTAAAAAATAGATGACTAGACGCCTTAAGCAAAGAAAACATTTTCTGATCATCACTTTCAAAAGTATGCTTCAGTTTGTTTTTAATTACTGGTTGCTTTTGGTTGGAAAAATATGCTCGACAGTATAGGAAGGTTGAGGCTTTAGGGATTAGAAGATCAGATCAAGAGCTAAATTCCCAAAGAAGCGGTGGATGTGTGAAGAAGGCAAAGGGAAAAAAGAGATTTTATTGTTGAATTGACACATGGTATGTGTGTTTGTGTGTGGGTGTGGGTGTGCAGAAACACAGCAACAGTTTCAGAAGACAAGCACTAGGTAGTTAAGTAATGGAAGAACATACTTACCCCATATTGCCATAAAAATAGCAAAGAAGACTGTCCCTCCATTATCAAATAGATATGTCACCTTAATGGAAAACAAACAAAAATATTAGCAACATTTTTGTTTATAATAATCCAGTGATTACTTTTTTTACATTGAGGCACTGTTGATTTTTTTTCTCAATGGAATCACATTATTTTATCATTTGTAAATCTAAGATATGCAATGCTTCCATGGGTTCTGCAACTGCTTCCTGTGATTTTCTCACGGAGAAAGTTGGGGAATCAGCATTTTCCCCCTTACTTTCTCCTTTCCTTTTGGACTCTACCTTTATTTCTGCTTTGAAGTGGTTCCAGCACTCTGAGGAAGTATTTGTGGACCACAAATGGAAGCTACGCAATGAGCTTTAAGAAGTTAGCTTTCCAGCAAAAGCACATACAGCTGCACTTCCTGTTAGCAAAACTTCCAGGGCTAGGGAAGTTGCAGAATGCAGAATTCCATTAGTGATCCAGCATTTCCAAGAGAGAGGTATCAGAGTGCTAGCCCTGCTCTCTGATGTCTTTCAGAATGTGCCATGGGTCATTAAGAAATTTCATCAATACTGGATATATTTAGGATATAGTCCAAGTGTTTTTAATCAGACATGACCTGAAGTTTTATAAAGAATAATGTACAGTTACACAATGTTATTGAATATACATTTCAGGGTTGTAAGAATGTTTGATTTTAATAAAGTATAAATTCAATTTGCATTTTTCTCTTTTCATTTGCATAATATCTTTACTATGGTTATAATTTAGTGAGGGAGATTAAACCAATACAGTCAAGGCATCATATGTTTGGCAGTCACTTAAATACCATAGAAATCATACAGAAAATAGGTGCATTATTCTCACAGGAGTAGAGGGCAATTAGGTAGGGGTTTAAAGAACATTATTCTAAGGACAGTGGGAGTAGAATCGTGCCTTCTTTGCATAGTCTACAGTCTAGAGGCTGCTCAATGGGGGTATTAAAATGACACTGATGTGCATTTTAATTGTAACTTCTGGAACACACTGTGAAACAATATGTAAAACAGAGAAAGCTGGGATATATTTTCCTATAATATCACATTATTGAAAATTTCATTATACAAAAGATAATGACAAGTATTACTTTTGAAAGTTGGTAGATAGGTGCAAGATATTCTAGATGGTTCTAAACTTCTAAGACTGTTCATGTTAAGGCTTGGGCTTTTGAAAAATGCAATAAGAATAGTTTTTCACAACAATCATCAGTATATGTTATGTACAGTAGAGAAAAGGACCACAAAGAAATTCTCCCACAGAGCTCATAAAATTCCACCCAGTGGGGGAATTTAGCTTTTTTTTATGTCCAAAGATATCCCACAGAGACACTTGCGGCTGCCAAGCAGCTGAACAGCTGTCTGCTCTCCTTTATAAACAAGTTTAGTGCAGGAAACAGCCTCTTAAGAGTGTTAGAACAGAGGCTTCACACATGGAAACATAAAGGTGACCAAGAAATAATGGCTCCCCTTGCTCCAGAAATAGCCATGTTTTTAGAAAAGTGACATATAAGAAGCCATATTTAATAACAGTTGTGTTGCATAGAAATGATTTTTTGTGGAATATTTTCCTTAAAAAAGCTTTTCATTTTTTTCTTGTTACTTTTGTTTATAAATCTTTCAGGCATTTTTTAACTAAGTAAATTTAAATATCAACTTTTAGAAACACATTCATGAGATGTGGTAAGGTATACATGTCACACTGATGTAATGTGAGATTATAAACTTGTAGTGAGAGATAAAGCTAGAATGGAAGTTAGGGAAGTCTTCAGAGCTTGCCCTGAGGAGGCAGGTAAAAGTGTAAGGTCATCATGTTACATCCACTAAACTAATATGTGTGGTGTGTATTATGACAGGGAAGATTTTGGAGATAAGAAGAGCACTTAGAAGCCTGTGCTTATATAATAGCCTCCCATGACAAAGCTTTTTTAGGGTGCTAATATGGGCTTCCCTTGTGGTTCAGTGGTAAAGAACCCACCTGACAATGCAGGAGACTCGAGTTTGATCCCTGAGTTGGGACGATCCCCTGGAGGAGGAAATGGCAACCCACTCCAGTATTCTTGCCTGGAAAATCCATGGACAGAGGAGCCTGGAGGGCTATGGTCCATGGGGTCTCAAAGAGTCAGACATGACTTACCAACTGAACAACGACAAGGGTCCTAATATAAGAGCTGCTAAATGGAAATGGAGGAGACAAAAAATGAAGAGTCAAGCACAGTGTGAATGGCTCAAGCTTAGAAAGTGAGCAATTGGCAGGAGAATAAAGGTGCGAGAGGCCTTCTGCCTAATAGGAAAGGAACACTTGCTCTATAAAAGAAAACTCCAGTTGAAATCTCAAGAAAAATCCCAAAGCAGCATAACAGAGCCAAAAAAAAAAAAAAGCAAAAATGCTAAAAGTAAAAAATCTTGTCCAATCTACAAATGTATATTTGCAGTGAATTATTTCATTGGAAAAATAGTGTGCCTTTATGCATAGAGCACCTCTGGACAAGCATTTTATTTAACATTATGAATGGGAGTAGGCATAATTTAAGAAGACAGAAGCAAACTTCTTTAAGAAAACAAAGCTGTGTATTAGCACAAATTCTCCATTTTCTTTGACATGTGATTTCTCTTGGAGAGCTGAGTGTGGCTGAAAATCAATAAATGTGAGGATTGCTTATGGAAATAAATTTCTTATTAGGTTGGAAGCGTAAAGTCCATTTCTTCTCCTCTATTGTAGTTGATAGATAGCTCTCTCTAAAAGTGTTTCTTGGTGAGAAACGGACTATTTCCTGCCATATCAGTACATAAGGATGTCACAGTCATCAACGATTCCAGCGCTCCAGGGCACTCAGAAAGAATACCTGCACCATCTGGCAGCCATTAGACTGCAGCCACTCCCTACAATAAGAACTGAAAATGTCAGGATGTGAAATATTGCAGGATACCGGCCCCAGACAGCTGAGATGCATAGGAAAGGAATGATTTCAGTGAGCCCAGACTCTAGCATCTTTCCATACATAGAAAATTGCTAAATTTCTTAACTTGAGGTATCTGGTTTTCTTTAATTCACAAAAATACTTTTGATGTTCAGACTGCCCTTTGTTGAAAACTTCTATATAACCTGACTTCTCTCTGCCTACTTGGAGCAGTTCTCTTAGGGTTACTTGAGATGTCTCCTGGGCTTAAAGTCCTAAAAATTCCCACCAAATAAAACATAACTGTCAACTTTTAGGCTGTGACTATTTTTTAAGTCAACAATGGGTTCAGAATAACTTAAGGCTCTGTAAACTGCTATATATACCCCATTCAAGATTTTGTGAGCTAAGGAGAACAAGACTCTTCTTGAACAGATCCAACACTGCAGGCCAGGTGATTACAGGGAAGAGAGGCAGAGAGCTGGAATTTAGACTGAAGTTTAGCCTTCTCTCAGATCCTTAGTTCCTAATTCTTCAATAGAGCAAAATCTGTACACCTATCCATGCCCACTGGACCTGGGCACAGGCTACACCAAACACGGCAGCTTTATGTATTCACCCCCATCCCCAACTCAATACTTGTTTAGTACAATAACTTTATAAATGTGGGCCTACGAAAAAGAATCACCTGAGGAATTTGTTAACATGCAGATTTCTAAGCCTTGCCCTTGACCAGCTGATTCTGAATCTCAGAACATGGGGCCCAGGAATCTGTTTTTAATGACAGACCAACCTAGACAGCATATTAAAAAGCAGAGATATTACTTTGCCAACAAATGTCCATCTAGTCAAGGCTAGATGCATGGATGTGAGAGTTGGACTATAAAGAAAGCTGAGCACCAAAGAATTGATGCTTTTGAACTGTGGTGTTGGAGAAGACTCTTGAGAGTTCCTTGGACTGCAAGAAGATCCAACCAGTCCATCCTAAAGGAGATCAGTCCTGGGTGTTCATTGGAAGGACTGATGCTGAAACTGAAACTCCAATACTTTGGCCACCTCATGCGAAGAGTNGACTCATTTGAAAAAACCCTGATGCTGGGAAAGATTGAGGGCAGGAGGAGAAGGGGACAACAGAGGATGAGACAGTTGGATGGCATCATCGACTCAATGGACATGGGTTTGGGTGAACTCCAGGAGTTGGTGATGGACAGGGAGGCCTGGAATGCTGCAGCTCACGGGGTCGCAAAGAGTCAGACACGACTGAGCAACTGAACTGAACTGAACTAGATGATTCTAAGTAGAGTCTTCTGAGGATTCTTCCATGAAATTTCTTAAAGAAGAAACATGTGTATGCACGCGTGTTAAGTCACTTTAGTCATGCCCGACTCCTTGCAACCTTATGGACTATAGCCTGCCAGGCCCCTTTGTCCATGGGGTTCTTCAGGCAAGAATACTGGAGTGGGTTGCTGAAAGAAGAAACATGATCTGTCCTGATTCTGTTCTAATCTCTGTATTAGTATACTATCTGAGGCTCAATACATTAGGGATTGAATAAATGTTTTTTGAACCAGTAAAAAAAAAAAAATCACCAAATTTTAATAACTATTATAAACAAGAGTAACTTCAAATAAGAGTTGAGTCATTTTTAGAACTATATGAAAAAACAATGCAGGACTCTTGTAGCTAATGATTTCACCTTAAATGAGAAATCCTAACATAATGGGAACTGACACCTGTGGTCACCTGTGCTTTGAAGAATATGCAGATATCACTAGAATGACTTAATTGCAAATATTTCTTAATCCCCATACTTTTACATATAAAAAATGAAAATAATCACCAAAGAAAATGTTGATGTACTTAGATATAATTTTTATTATATAATGGGGACCTCATTTTTCCTGAAATACACCCTTGACATTATTAAGGGAATAATTACATGTGCACATGTATTTATTTATTTATGCACAATAATTACATGTAAAATCTGGCAGATTTAATGTCCTGCTACTTTTCACAAGTGGTGATTGATTCCATAAGGAATTTACCAGTTCCTAGATGAGGTGGCTAGGTGATCAGGTGACTAGATGATTTTAGATTGGTGGGCTTGTTTCTTTGCTAAAAATTTCTTCCCTTATTTCTGACACTGCCCATCTAGTAACCTCTAGGTGTTTAAATATATAAACTGATTTTAAAAGAAAGTGTTTGTTTCCATTCAATGAAGGAAGAGTAGTTTTGATTTTTAAAATGTAAATCAAATACATTTTACCTTAACCAGAGGATCAAATACAAGACATAATGAAGATTTCACCCTGGTGGGTTTTATTTCTTGCATTGTTCCTTAAGGCAATATTCTCCTCTGCGAGCTAACATTTCCAGCTACCTGGTAATAGTTACTAAGTGAGATCTTCCTGTGTCATACCTACTTCTACATATACTCTTTTCTCTAGAGTAACAGAGGAATGTAGATACCACATAATGACAATGGCGCCCTAGATTTAGCATTTCCTTGGACAGATTCTTCACTTTATCACTCTGCCACATATGATTCTTATCTTTAGTGTTTGGATTTCTTGGTGTCCCTAAGGCTGTCATATATCTTTGAAATGCATGGGCAAAGGGAAAGACATGTGTCCATACGTCTAATGACTCTAATATATTTGGCTTTTATAAAAAGTGTCGAGAAAATGCTTCCCAAAACAAGACATCTTTGGGGAACATTTGAGAGAATTCAACATTAAGCACATTTCAGAAATCAAATTATAAACAAAACAGATTTTTCCCATACCACGCATTCAAGAAAAATAATTCAGAAGCTAATTTTAGTAAGTTTTGGTTTCCTAGGAGGATCCTTAGTCGCTTTTGTTTTTTATGTCCACCCTTGTCAAAAGTGATTATACACAAGCCTCTACTTCTGAACAGAGCTTCCCAGGTGGCCCTAGCGGTAAAGAACATGCCTGCCAATGCAGGAGACATAAGAGACATGGGTTCGATCCCTGGGTCAGAAAGATCCCCTGGGGGAGGGTGTAGCAGTCCACTCGTCTGTTAAATTCCATGCACAGAAGAGCCTGGTAGGCTACAGTCCACAGAGCTGGACACAACTGGAGCGACTTAGCACAACATTTCTGAACAAGATGAAGTAACAGAGATTGACTTTACCCACATTCTGGAAATAACCAAATAATTCCCAAAATACATAATGCAACAGAGTTCAAGACTGGATGTGAGACGATGAAGGGCAGTGATCCCTAAGAGGTGGGAAACAATGGAGGTGAGCATTATGGTTGCCTGAAAGAGTCGCAAGAGTACAAAGGGGGACAGCCCAGACAGTGAGCGTTCATGTGAGGAAACTAGCTGAGGACACAACCACCTGAAAGTATTAGAGGAAACAGTTTCAGGAGCTCACAGAGTCAGGCAGGAATAGGGCCTGTTCCCACCAGCTGGACTGGAAATCCTCATTATTCACAGTTCACTGCGTAGAGTACACAGAAAGATTTGGTTTTTATTGTGGGGAAAAATTAGTGCTAGAAAGAGCACTGATGTGAGGCTAACTCTCAAATCCTAAAAGCAAGACCCAAAAGAATTAAATAATTTTCAAGTAACTAAACCACAATGAGCTCTCTCTAAAGATCTATTAGAACAGTTAAAATTAAAAAGACTGATTATCATGAGGATTAGTGAGTATATGGAAAACTCAACTCTCATATATCTCTGGTGGAAATGTAAAATGTGTAGAAATTCTGGAAAAAAGTTCTGCAATGTCTTAGAAGGATAAAAATCCACCTATCAAAAAATCTAGTCATTTTTATTCTAGGCATTTACCCAAGAGAAATAACAATACTTGTCCAAACAAACATTTGTAGATGAATGTTTATAGCACCTGTATTTAAAATGGCAACAAATTAACCTCCCCCCAAATTATTAATATGAATGGATAATTATTAAGATTCATCTTAATTATGAAGATGAAGGGATAATTGAATTCATGATTCAGCCATATCATGCAATACTATTAATACTCAGCAATAAAGAGGGAGGATTTGTTGATAAATGTTATGACACGGATGAAACTCAAAATAATTGTGTTGGGTGAAAGAAACTAGAAAAAATTCACACACTATATGACTATTTACCTAACAGTCTGGAAAATACAAATTTATCTATAATGACAGAAAATGTTTGCCTGAGCCCAGGGGTGGGATTTGGGAGGCAAGGATTACAAGAAATCACAAGAAAACCTTTGGAAGTAATAGATATGTTCATTATCTTGACTGTGGCCGTGGTTTCACAAAAGCATATATATGTATTTAAATACATTCATTTATACACTTCAAATATGTACATTTTATTACACATTAACTATACTTTAATAAAACAATTTTACAAATGAATACTCACAATTATAAAACTGAAGTACACATTTCTCAAACTTGTATGCACCCTGAAATCACCTGGGAGTTTTTAAATTATGCTGATGCCTAGGTTCCAAAACTAAAGATTCTAATTTAATCATTCTGGGATGTGGCTTGGGTTTCAGGAATTTAAAAAACTCTTCAGGTGATTCTAATAGGAAGAAATTTGAGAATTTCAGGTATGTTTACTTCATTTTCTCTGTCAAATTAGAAATATTTAGATCTCATGAGTCTTCATGGGAAGATACAAACTTTGCCATTGAAGAAGAAATAATCTTCTTCTCCAAAAAAAATAATCTGGATATCATTCCAAGTGGATGTTTTATGTCTGTAATGGCAATTACCACTTATAAAAACAGAGGAAGACAAATATATTCTAATAAAATACATCCTTTTTATAACTGCCACAGAGTAATGTTTTATTCAGTTGACAATGATACTGTGTTGTCAATGAAACTCTTGGGAACATTTAACTTTGGTAGAAAGCAGTTTGCTGGAGGACTTTTTACTGCCTAGGTTCCTAGAAAAAGTAGAGGGCAGGGAAGGGAATGTGAGGGTCCACACTGACCTTGGCGTAGATACAGCTTTCGTTGAGTCTCTGCAGTGAGCAGTTCTTATCACAGAGAGGGCACATGAAGACTTCAGTGGCCTTGCAAATTTCTTGGCTTAAGAAATCAAAGAGGAAAAAGAAAGATGAACCTCCACGCTCAGGAAGCTGCTTAGCCCCTACGGCCAATTCTATGGGGAGTAGTAGGGTGGGGAGGAAAAGAAGAAATGGAAATACTGGAGGAGTGGTGGACAGGGGAGTAAGAACTTGAATGACTCCAACCCAAATTTTTAGAATTTTTGTGATATTGAGTTTCTTTGCTTCTTTGTTTTAAGAAATCTCTGATCCAATATATTTAATGATAATAGGCCAATTTTATTCTCAGGAGGCACTTGTGGGGCTTTGTTACAAGGACACTTTTCTACCTGATTTAATGGCATGTAGGACAATCTTAGGAGGAACACCTAGGAGTGTTTTAACCCAGCTCACAGGCTTGGATGTGGCTGAGCAGGAATCACACCTGACTATGCTGATTTTTCAGAGAAGGCAATGGCACCCCACTCCAGTACTCTTGCCTGGAAACTCCCATGGATGGAGGAGCCTGGTAGGCTGCAGTCCATTGAGTCGCTAAGAGTTGGACACAACTGAGCGACTACACTTTCACTTTTCATTTTCATGCACTGGAGAAGGAAATGTCAACCCATTCCAGTATTCTCACCGGGAGAATCCCAGGGGTGGGGGAGCCTGGTGGGCTGCCGTCTATGGGGTTGCACAGAGTCGGACATGGCTGAAGTGACTTTGCAGCAGCAGCAGCATGCTGATTTTTTCAGGTCTATAGATCTTTCCCTTGGTTCTCACTGCTTTACAGTCACCAAAATGAGTAGCAGCCATAATTCATATAATTTCACAACCCCTTCTGCAGTCAATCAATGCATTATGGATTACTGAAATATGTAATATCCTCTAATAGAATGTAACCTTGTAACATTTGCTTCTTGAGTTTATTGCTATCTTTTAAAAATCTCAGCATACTTTATAGATGACATCATGACATGAGCAGGACATCAATAACAATTTCTCAAAAGACTCACAGTCTGAGAGTTCACAGCAAACTGTTATTAGATATTTTACGCCTTTATCTGTCATACCTGGCCCCTTCCCATTTGGTATCCCCTGAATAAATTGTCTTTAAGTAAATCTGCTCTAGACATGTTGAAGGTAATATCAAGGCTTTTAAAGCTACGCCTGGAAATACAACTGTTAATAAAAGTTTTAATGTTTTCAAAAATATATAAACTCAAAGTAAAAAAAAAATAATAATGCATATCTATTTCAAATGCTGGATGTGTACAATCTCAAGCCAAAGTGGAAATGACTAGTAAATAATAATACTAAACTGTATTGCAACACCTTACAGTAACCAAAGATGGATTCACATCTGTTAAGTTTAGTCTTCAATACAACCTCCTGCAAAGGTAATTTTCTTCACAACTGAGCAGAAGCTGATGTTTAAGTGATTTGTTCAAGGTCATAAGCTTACAAGAGATACTTGAAGGAACTGAGTTTAGGTTTTTTTGATTCTAGGTCCAGTTCTCCATCAACTACAACTCATCTAAAATAAGGATAAGTTTATTTCATATTAAAAGGAAGTTTCCTACCAAAAACTAATTTACTAATAATGATGATGGTATAACAAGTCTTATATATACTATAACTCTCCCACTTTCACATACATCTCCTTGCTAGTAATCATGATGTCTATGTGAAGTAGGGGTAAGCAGGTAAAATATACATTTTTAAAGCTCAGAAAAAAAGAGCGATGATTATACCTCCTCTTACTAATACTACTAATTTGTAGAAATAAGAAAAAAAAATTAACCCACCTCTTGAAGAAAATTCCTATTAAAATAGGCTTGCTATCATAATTCATTGTTTAAAAAAACATATAACGTGCCCCATATTGAAATCTCACACTAGAATGGTATTAAATTTGGTTTATACTACATCATGTTTCCTACCTTCCAAATAATCAAACAAAAGCACAGATGTATCAAAGCATCCAGTCTAGGATCCTAGTCATCAGACTGAGCCTTATTTTTAAGTCCAGAATTATCAAACTCACTTTAAGTAAGCTGCTCAAAGTTCCACTGGACAGATAACACAAAAAACACTAAACAAATTTTGCAACATTTTTTAGCCTAAAACGTGGAATTTGAGATGATTACTGTGTTCTTTGACTTAACCACTAGATGGAGAGAGAGTGCCCAAAGTGTTTCTTAGTTTCTTCATAATATACACCTGCCCTTTCTGGTAGCTCAGCAGGTAAAGAATCCACCTGCAATGCAGGAGACCCTAGTTAGATTCCTGGGTCAGAAGATCCCCTGGAGAAGAGATAGGCTACCTACTCCAGTATTCTTGGGCTTCCCTGGGGACTCAGATGTTAGAGAATCCACCTGCAATGTGGGAGACATGGGTTCGATTCTTGGATTGGGAAGATCCCCTGGAGGAGGGCATGGCAACCCACTCCAGTATTCTTGCCTGGAGAATTCCCATGGACAGAGGAGTCTGGCAGGCTATCGTCCATAGGGTCACAAAGCGTCAGACACGACTGAGCGACTAAGCACAACATGATACAAACCACCGCTTGAAATGTGGCTTTCTTTTGTCTTCTATCTGCTAGAAATACACATCAAGGGCTAATTCAAAGGAAATAATAACTTTCACCAATTCATCATAATTACCACCTCCAACCATAATGGAGGCTGGAGAAATTTGTCCATTTGGGGGTGAATGCCTGGACCTGCTCCAGGGTCTTGATACTTCCTGTGATTCTGTTAACATGCAAAGTACAGGATAAGATGTGTGGTGATGCCCATTTTGGGGAAATCTGATAATATGAAAGTAGGTTTAAAGGAAGGAAGTTTGGAAACATGAGTAAAATATGGATTTTAGAATAAGATACAATTGTCAAGGAATAAGTAAATGATAAGATGTTAAGCCACACCAGTTAGGATTGTTGTTATCAAACAAAACAAACAAAATAAAGCAAAGACAACACATGTTGGCAAGGAGGTAGAAAATTTAGAACACTTGAACATTGGTGGGACTGTAAACTGGTGCTGCCACTATGAAAAACAATACAAAGATTCCTCAAAAAATTAAAAATAGAACTTCTATTTAATCCAGCAATCCCACCTCTGGGTATATATCTAAAAGAACTGAAATCAAGGTCTCAAAGAGATATCTGCACCTTGTGGCTCACTTCACTGTTATTCACATTAGCCAAGATAAGGAAATAACCCAAATATCCATCCACAGATGAATGGATAAAAAGGTGGAATAGACCAATAACAGAATATTAGCCTTAAAAAAAGAAGGATAGTCTACCATATGCAACAACGTGGATGAACTTGAAGGACATTATGTTAGGTGAAATAAACTAGTCACAGAATAATGAATACTGTGCAGTTTCACTTATACTAGGTATCTTAAAAAACACACTCATAGGCACAGAGTAGAACTGTGGTTGCCGGGGAGTTATGGAGCGGAAATGGAAAGCTGCTGTTCAACGGGTATAAAGTGCCAGCTATGCGGGATGGGTAAACCCCAGAGATGTGCTGTCCAACATCGTGCCCACAGTTAACAATACTGCAGTGTGCCGTGCCCTTGTGTGTGTGTGAGTCGCTCAGTTGTGTCCAACTCTTTGCGACCCCATGGATTGTAGCCCACCAGGCTCCTCTGTCCACGGGATTCTCCAGGCAAGAATACTGGAGTGGGTTGCCATTTCCTTCTCCAGGCGATCTTCCCAATTCAGGGATCAAACCCAGGTCTCCTGCATTGCAGNGTTGGAGATAATAGCCAAGTGGGATACTACTTCAGGAATACTGATAATTGCCTGGCACATCATAGGCACTTGATAAACCGATGAAGCCCTTATTGCTAAGGAGGTTGTCAGGAGAGGATTTGAGAGTCCTTTAAGACCCAACAGCTTTTGAAAAGCTGGCCAGTACTGATATTTCTTGGTGAGTTCTAATGCCAAAGAGGCAAGAAAGTTGTCTCTGCTCTGCCTTGGACCTGAAACCCAAAGCCTGAGAAGAAGGGACCATGTGTTCCTGCCTGTTCATTTTCATATTCCTATAATATATGCTCTACCTGACACAAATCTGATCACCTTTGATTGTGTAAGACCAATATACATGTAAATATATGATTGTACATGCATATACAAGAAACAATCTGTAACATGATTCTCACATAAACAATTAACTGCAGAGCAGTTAAGAAATGCGACCTTAATTTACATAAACACAACTGGTAGAAACATAATAAATGCAACCTAATCTTTAGCTCTTCAACATTTTGTTACTTTGCAATAAACAAGAAAGATCTTACTAAAATAAAACTGAAACAAAGCAACTCAAAAGTCCTATGTCTTCCACCCACACGCCATGATAACACCTACAACCTAACCACGTCTGACACCTTGAATGGAAAAATTCAGTCCCATGAAATTTTGAAAGTCAAGATATTCAGTGATGCTTACCTTGATTTAGAATAGCAAGTCTGACAGGGTCTTAATTATAGTGTGACAGAAGTAGCAGTAATATAATACCATAAAGCACAGAAGAAAGAGTTCACGAGTCTTTTAAAACACTCCTTGTGCTAAAGGTTAAAGAATACTTTGTCTCATACAAAAGGAGTCTAATTTTCTTCATTGGCACATGAATCAATAGGAACAGAAAATCTATTCCTTTCATTGCCTTTTGTTCATTTTCAGCTTCTAAAGTGTGGAGGAGGAAGTCTACACCACGTGGGAAAACTGGATCAATTTGAACAGTAGCTAACTGCCTAAAAATCATTTTCTGCTCTTGTCAATTCATTTTAAAAGACCATTTCTCCAAAACCCTAAGTGAAGAGAAGTGATAGTCCCTCAGTCATGTCTGACTCTTTGTGACTCCATGGACTATACTGTCCATGGAATTCTCCAGGCCAGAATATTGGATTGGGTTGCCATTTCCTTCTCCAGGGGATCTTCCCAACGCAGGGATCAAATGCAGGTCTCCTGCATTGCAGGCAGATTCTTTACCAGCTGAGCCATCAGAGAAGCCCATTCTATCAAAAAACTATAGCTAAAACATGAATTCAATAAATTTGCAGGATATAAAATCAGTACAAAAATATCAATTGTGTTTATATATACTAAAAAAAAACTATCAATAAGAGAAATTTAAAAAAAAATCCCACTTACAATTACATCAAAAAGAATAAAACATTTAGGAATAAATTTAACCAAGGAGGCAAAAAGTCTATACACTGAAAATTATAAGACATTGGCAAAGGAAATTAAAGAAGATACAAATAAATGGAAAGATATTCTGTACTCCTGGATTAGAAAATTTCACACTGTTTAATGTCCATACTACCTGAAGAGATCTACAGATTAAAAGCAATCTCTATCAGAAGTTCAATGGTAATTTTGCAGAAACAGAAAAACCTATCCTAACATTTTTATGAAATCACAAAAATCCCAAACAGTCAAAGCAATCTTGAGGAAGAACAAAGCTGGAGGCATCACACCTTTGATAACAATATTATAAAGGTATGATAATCATAACAGTACATTACTGGCATAAAGGCAGATACATAGATCAATGGAACACAATAGAGAAACCATAAATAAAACCATGTATATGTGGCCAGTTTTTGACAAGTCAAGTATACTCAATGAGGAAAGGACAGTATCTTCAACAAATGGTGTCAGAAAAGAAGGATCCAGATGCAAAAGAATGAAACTACAGCTCTATCTTCCATCATATACAGAAACTAACCCAAAATAGATTAAAGATTTAACTTAAAAGCTGAAGTTGTGAAACTACTAATAGAAAACTTAGGGGGTAAATTCCTTGAAATCAGTTTTGGCAGTGATTTATAGGGTTTGACACTGAAAGTAAAGGCAATAAATGCAAAAATAGCATATAAAGAAATGCCCAAAGGGGGACGAATGTTTTCAGTGGGTGCATGTTTATCCAGGAGGATGCTGCCTTCTAGACTGGTGGTGAGTTTGCAAAACTCTGAAATAAGACTGTTACTAGAAGAAATGCTTTTGAACATTAGGTGTTTGTTTTCATGCTAATTACCATTTGACCTTCCAGAAGAACACGGGGATTCTGAGATACCAAATCAAGGAATTTGGTTATGGATTCAACTCTGGAACAATGAAAATATTTTGTTTTTAGGCAAAATTGTTACACAAATATATCTGTATTATATGTAATGCAATGTGTATGTGTGTATATGTGTGCATGTACACAAATATACAAAGAAAATTCAAGGAAGTCAATTTTATGGTCCCATTAACTGTCAAGATTGCTACCCAGTAGCAATGGTGAAAAGATGAACCAAAAGAGAAAAAATCACTGAGCTTTCAGGGAGAGGAAAAATGCTTTATCATATTTTGGATTGTATCATACAAGGTTGAACTTGATGAAATCCCTTTGGAACAGTAAATAGAACATGCTATTAAGAGGATTTTTTAATGCCAAGTTGACTCTTACTTCTGCTGAATAATATCATTGTGTGTGTTGTATACTCAATTGTGTCTGACTCTTTGTGACCCTCTGGACTGTATCCTGCCAGTCTCCTCTGTCCATAGAATTTTCCAGGCAAGAATACTGGAATGGTTGCCATTTCCTTGGGATCTTCCTGATCCAGGAATTGAACCCACATCTCTTGCATCTCCTGCATTGGCAGGGAGACTCTTCACCACTGCACCATCTGGGAAGCCTGAATAATTTTATATTATTTCTATATCCAAATGCTGAGCCATTTAAACTTTAACAGAAAAACCATCATTCTGATAAACATTTGTTATTTCTCAAAATCTTATTTACTACCATTTTGATACTTTAAGTTGATGCTAAAATCTTTTACAAATTCTATTCCCATAAAGAATAAAAAGTAGAAAGTGATTTTATGTTCTCATGACAGGAGACCACTTAGGATAGGATTTTATGTGGTACAAATTCACCTGCAATACAGGAGACTGGGAGACTCAGGTTCGATCCCTGGGTAAGGAAGAGACCCTGAAGGAAGAAATGGCAACCCACTCCAATATTCTTGCCTGAGAAATCCCATGGAGAGAGGAGCCTGGTGGGCTACAGCCCATGGGATCACAAAAGAGTTGGATATGGTTAAGCAACTAAACAACAACATTTTGTTCAGATATCTTGAGCTATGTAAGATTCTCTCAAATGCTGAAAGGAAAACTCATCTCCAAGGGTGGTAGTGAAAGTTGTATAAAATGAAACAGTGTGTTTGGAAGGTCTTTGTATATCTTAAGTGTTTAAAGAATTGAATCCATTACAATTACTTGAATTACTATACTGAAAGAGTATTTCAGACTACCAAAGACTATATGCAAATTTAAATTACATTGAATGGTCTATTGCCTTGTTGAATTATTATTAGTTATATACTAGAAAGAGAAATTTGGCATAAAGAGAAACAGTCTTAGAACTTATCCAAGATAATCTGCATATAATAATAGGAATGGCCTTTTTATGGTGCCTCTCCCCTGCAAAAATAAAAACAAACAAATTATAGTACCACCATTTATTTTTTAATCAGCATTATTGTAAAGCTTTGACCCAATCAGAAAGCCAAGCTTTTTAGTAAGTCTGTTAATAGCTTACCTTACTTGACTTGCATTCATTGTCAATATTCCATAGAAGAATACACACAAGCCAACAATGGCCGCAGGAATCAGCATTCCAGTATACCACCCCAGCCAAGCAAAGTATAATCCAATCTTCTCACCAAAGTACAGCCTGTATGAGAAAGCAAATTCTTAGCTTATGGCAACCTAAGGAATACTACAGATATTAATGCCGCTCCTAATATGACTTTCAGATAGACAGTTGAGGTTCCGGCTCAGTTCCTCCTCAGCTCCATCTGGGATATTGTAATAGTCTTGCTTAATAAATCCGGTGATGGTAATAGTTTGTTTTGAATACTGCCTTTATAGGAGCAATTTTGCAAAATCTATTTATTTCTGTGTCAGACTTCTTAACATGGCTCATAAAGCTTTTCATAAGCCAGTTCTTGCTTTTCTTCATCCTCTTAGTGGAATCTTTTTTGTTTCCCCCACACAGAGCTGTGCTAAACCATACTGCTTTGGCATAAATTAGGAGTGTCTCCCTCTGGGTAGTTGCTGAAAGCAGACTTGAATTCAGCCTCCGTCTGCACTCTTGGCCAGATTTCCTCATGCCAGACACAATCTGCACAATTTTGTCACACATCTTCCTCAACAAAGTTCAACTCTGCCGTTCCTGGAGCACATGACTCTTCTTGGTTAAGGCTGTTTCCTCACTTTGGAAGATTGCATTTCACCCTTTTCTCCTGTCTGGCTTACACTTATCCCATCCTTTATATCACTTCTTCCAGGAAACCTGCCCTGACTTCACTACAAACCTGGGTTAGATGACCCTGGTCTTGCTCCCACACTCCCTTCACCCATGTTTCAATATCCTAAACTCATAAAACTTCATGACAATTACCTGTCACTCCCCCATTCCTCACCCTCCCCATATGACTACAAGCTACTTGAAAATGGACCTGTATCTTGTTTCACTAGCACCCACCACAGGAAGTATTTTGTTGAATGAAACAAAGGGAATGAATGTATTTTATTTCCCTTCACTGGATTAACATTTCATATGGACACAGCAGATGAACAAGATGGTTCCAACAACTTCTCACTTGCTCTTCACCACGTCACTGCCAATATGAACCATCACAATTTATAAGGTGCCAGTAAGAAACGACAATTTCTTGAATTCCGCACTGGTGTTTGCTCTCCATCTTCTAAAAATGATTACTTAACACAGTTTTGTCCCAGTACTAGTTTTAGAGATTAGTGTTTTATAGTTCATTTGGGAATACCTCTCTGGGCAAAAATTCTTACAGGAAAGAAAATTCTCTTGTTATTTTTTTTCCTCCTCAGTAAGACTTCCCTCTCAAAAATCATTCTCTTTCTACTCCATTCTCTGTATGGTGCCAACTAAAATGTGTATGTATTCTATCTAGTGTAGACATGAAATCATCCTCTACTGAGCATCATTTATCTAATTTTTTGCTTTTTTCATTGATTTCTCCTAGGAGACATAGATCAAAAGTCTATTTATTTCTTTTATAATGAAAGTGTTCTACTCTGAAATGAAGCTTATAATATTAGCAGGTATTCTAACAAAGCTAATTGTTCCTTCAAACAAGTGTTGTGCAGGGTGGAGTATAGTTCTGGTACATATTACTAACATTTTTATGATGATTATTATAGAGGACTGCACAGATAGAAACCCTTACATACACAGAGTATTACCAAGATTTTTAATTATACATTATGAAGGTTAAGAGGAGCAATGATGTTATTTGACAAGAGCACAATTACCTAAGTTATAGCAAATTTCAGATCTGTTTCATGAGAAGAAACTAGCTCCAAGCAAAGAAGGCTAATGAAAATATCCTTAACCTAGAACATGGGTAGTCACAATCTCTTAGGAGTGCTATTCAATTTTTTTAAAACCACAACAGGGCAAGCAGGAACAGGGGGTTGCTACCGGTGTCACTGCATTGCACTTGAACTGGAGTCACTCTCTTTTTATGTTGTATGTACTGGTATCCTATATTATGGGGCTACCCATGTGGTGTTAACCCACCTGCCAGTGCAGAGACCTAAGAGATGCAGGTTTGATCCCTGGGTTGGGAAGATCCCCTGGAGAAGGGAATGGAAACCCCCTCCAGTGTTTTTGCCTGGGGAATCCCATGGACTGAGGAACCTGGCAGGCTAAAGTCCATAGGGTCACAAAGAGTCGGACATGACCGAAGCAATTTAGCACAGCACATTCTATGGTATGTTTCATTTGACGATGGGATTCTGCTGTTGAAACAACTTCTATCATAAAAACGAATGTTAAATTTAACTCTTTTAGAGTGAATTATTTCATTTAGTTTTTACACTTAAATCCTCCAGTGTCTATTGAAAGACATTAGGAAAAAAGTCACACAGCTATCTTAAGCAGGTTTTGTAGCAGACCATTTTTGTAAATGTATTTTTTTCCCCAGATTTCAATATTTTCTTTGGAAAAATAGGCTGAGAAGGCTTTAGCTACTAAAATGTTAGAGTTCATTCTTAAAATGAAAACAAAACACAAACACATGCTTAGAAACGGTTGTTTATAAAAAAAAGAAAATGAATCGGTACTTCCTCACTTTTCACCTGGGCTTCTCTGGTGGCTCAGCGGTAAAGAATATGCCTGTCAGTGTAAGAAGGCACAGGAAACACAGGTTCAGTCCCTGGGTCAGGAAGATCTCCTTGGAGATGGAAATCACAACCTACTCCAGTATTCTTGCCAGGATAATCCCACGGACAGAGGAACCTGGTGGGCTACATTCCATGGAGTCGCAAAGAGTTGGACACGATTGAACCACGGAGCACATATGCACACCAGTACACAAACACTTCATCATCATCTCGTGGCTCTCTTAATCCTATTTACACTTCTGTGTATTAAATTCTTTTATTAAATTATCTTCAAACACTCCCTTTATTCTGTCCATTCTATCCATTTCCTATTAGGACAATGACTGATACAGTTTTGAGTTATTCTTTATATTTATAATTTATGAACATCTCATCAACACATATAATCTTATAATATGAATGCCATTTAAACATTTTTATCCTATAAATATTTCTAGTTAGCTGGGTATGTAAGTCTCTTTAATATATATTTCCTGATTTTTAAAAATAAGAACAAATCATCCTCCATCAAAATAAAATAAATCGTGAATATAATACTATTTCAAGACTAATTCAAATTGCAAGTATCTACTCACTAGGCTATGCCTCCTGGAATAAAACAGACACTCATTAAATCTTCATTGAAAGATAAATATATGCAGAGATGCTATGCTGGCCACCTTTCTATTTGTTATCAGACCTATTTTCTGCCTTTCCTTCTTTCACTGGGAAGTAGATCATACAGATTCCCTTGTAAATTGCTGCTAAGTCACACTAGGAGGCACTAAAAGTCTCAAAGGTGGAAGGAGGGGAGGAGCATGAATCTTTTCTCCTCTCCTGGCCATCCTCAGGGCTGTGTCCAGAGCAGCCATAATTTGTTGTGAATTGTGTGTGTTCTCAGTCGTATCTAACTCTATGAGTTGGTGGACCACAGACCATCGGGTTCCTCTGTCCATAGGATTTTCCTGCAAGAATACTGGAGTGGGTTGCCAAGCCCTCCTCCAGGGGATCTTCCCAACCTAGGGAAGGTACCGTGTCTCCAGTGTCTCCTGCATTGGCAGGCAGATTCTTTACTGCTGAGCTACCTATAATTCTCTGTGGCTTGACTCTCAACACTTCACATCTCTGCAGACAGTCCTACTCATCAATAGCAAAGCTCCTACCAAAGGGCTCAGGTATTAAGCTCTGAAGTACACTTCATCCCATTTTCCCTCCAGCATTAAGGGTCGTTAGCAATTGTCTGCTGTTGTTAATTTTTGGTTTAACATGCCTCACATCCCTGTTTGAGCTCTTAGTTTTCCCATCCCTTGAGAAACTAATTCCCTAAATCGTTTCTTTTATTGAAAAGATGTGTAGTGGCTTTTTTTTTTTTTTTTTCTTGTTCAGCCCTGACTGATACAGATGATTTGGTGGGTAAAGAAAATAATTCCAAATCTAAGACAACGCTGAGAAAACAGCATAATATGTATTCCATTATTGATCTATCCCCAGGACCTACCTGATTAAATCCAGGGGCTGATGTTTGTACCACATTCCCCAGCGTGCCCAGCGCTCATATAATAGATGTCTGTTATTCTGAGGTCCGTGGGTTTTGATGGGTTGGTTACTCTTGTAGGCTCCCTGAAACAAATAAAATGAGCTGATACACATTCTTTTAGTGAAATGTGAATTATTAGGAATCGCTTTTGCTTTTTTCTGCTTACAGAATTATTTAAAAACTTATTGGAAGCTTCAGGATTGTAAACATAAGCCCATCACTGGAGTGATGCAGTAAATGCATTTATATATCTATCTTTTATTGAAAATATTCTGATAGTTCTTTAACATTTTTCTTAAACTCCTCTTTTAAACCAATGAAATCCCTTTTATTTAGCTTAGACTTTAGGTTTGTTTGAAACCTAAGGTCTTTTAATAAACAAAATGTCTTCATTATCACTGAGAGAAATTGCTATAATTTTGAGTTCAGAAATTGAGTCTTATTCTGCTTTGATAAGTTATCCAGTCCCAGAAAATATTTACTTCATTAATAGAAGCTAATGAAAAGAGTAAATGTTCATTGAATAAGTGCCCCCCATCTAAAAGAATCACTACACTGTACATGTGAAATTAATATAATACTGTAAATCAACTGTATTTTAATTAAAACTGTTTAAAGTATAAGAGATCTAAGTCACCAGTTTTAACCATGGTTTTAAATTCTAGAATATTTAAAACTTACTTCAGATAAGATATTCCAAAAATGTAATTGTGTTTTAAAATTCTTTATATCGCCTCTCAAAAATCTGTCATATGCAGTTTCAGAAACATAGGATATATCTGTCTTTTAGAGGAAAGTGTTCCCTGAAGGCTGAACTGCTCTGCTTCTATAGTAAAAAAGGACAATAGATATAATAATTTTATTTTCTGAATCAAAACTTAGACACAGAACTTAAGAAAGTTCCTCTGCTCACTTTGATGTGTGATTCTACTTTTATGACATGTTTCATGAAAATTTAAAGCAAGTAAAGTTATGTTTCAGTTATTTGACTTAGATGATGGGGATAAAAATAAATATAGATGATATACCAATATAGAAGAGGTTTTGTGAGGACCCACTTGGCATACAGCTATAAAATGTTAGGCACATAAGAAGTATAAAATCACTGTTAGTTAATTTTATAGGTGTTTGCTATACTGTGGCCGTTGAACAGTGCCAAACTAACATCTCCTTCCAGACAATCAGGGCAGAGAGATCCTATGAAGAAAAAATGGCACCTGATTCATGGTCTACAGGTACCTCAAGGCTGAAATGAGAGGTTCATAGGGATTTTGCTTCTGTTTTTCTCACTTCTGGTTTCCCTGATAGCTCAGTTGGTAAAGAATCTGCCTGCAATGCTGGAGACCTGGGTTTGATCCCTGGGTTAGGAAGATTCCCCTGGAGAAGGAAACGGCTACTCACTCCAGTGTTCTGGCCTAGAGAATTCCCTGGGCTGTATAGTCCATGGGGTTGCAAAGAGTCAGACACAACTGAACTACTTTCACTTTTCACTTTCACTTCTAATGAAAAAAATTAATCAGGTAAAAGGAGAAGTACAGTTAGTGTGCATTCTCAGAGTTATCTTTCCTAAGGGAACCCAAGGTGCTTAAAGATTGGAAGCTAAGGAGATGGGAGGAAAGATCAAGATGCTTAAGACATCTGCTTGAGAAAAGTTTGTTTTCTTTTGAAATTGGCCTACCCATTAAGATAGCCTGCCCTGAGACTGGGAAGGTAAACCAAAATCTCAGGGTTTTTTTAATCATTCCTGATAATCCTTCTAAAAGACATGACTTTCCTTGCCACCCTCAATGGTCAGATGTAGGCATTTCCTGGATTTAAGGTGCTAACTTTTAGAATCTCTAGTACATCATTGTCTGACTTCTATTCATTAATCTCAATGAACCACAATGTTCTGGGATGACAGTGACATGAGATGCACTGCAAGAGAAAACTGACCAAAGTGCGAACTCCTGCCCAACCATGTATTTTCAGCCCTTTTCACAGGACTATGTACACTCCCTCATCCCTACCTTTTCCATGATCAGCCCCCTCGTCCAGCCAACACTTTTCTTCTGTCCACAGGATTTTCTAGGCAAGAATACTAGAGTGGGTTGCCATTTCCTTCTCCAACCTATCCCTAATAGGTTCCAAATTTCACATAAGAAACTGTCCAAAAAAACTGTCAGAACACAGACTAGTTAGGTAGACTAAGCATTTAAAATAATAAAACAAACTATGTGCTATAGAAGCTCTTGTGGGGACTCACACTCCAAACACTTAACCACTTACTGACTAGGTCGTATTGGACACGGTGTTTAATTTCTGAGCCATGTTTCTGTCTCTCTGCAAGGGAAAAATAATGATATCTCCTCTCCAGGGTTACTGTCAGATGAATGGGAATATTCACGCACAGGACCTGTTGTATGAAACACTCTAACACATTATCGGCTATTGTTATTTCTATTCCTAATATCAGTAGGTATACCATAATGAATAGAAGCATTGAAGTGTGGATTCTTAGGTTCAAAACTGTGTCATTAATACTTAACCTTTCTCAAACTCAATGATAAGATAGGGTCAATATTATTGCCCATCTCAAAGGGTTGTTTGCAAGAGTTAAATGAGATAGTCCGTATAAATAACAGCTCAGGACCAAACAGGAAGTGCTCAATACATTTTACCTTTTATGAGTTATACTACACTGTGAATTCCTCTGGTATAGTGATTAGGTTCTGAGTCCTCAGCCTTTAAAAATAGAAGACTGCTGGGCTTTGAAAGCACACACATTAAACCCATAAATACTTTGTTCTTATTTTAAAATGCAAAACTGCCTTAAAAAAGAATATAGTGTGTGTGTGTGTTTGTGAGCATGCGCGCACATATGTGTGTATTGGAGAAGGGAGTTTATAACTGATTCATGTGTCGTTTATGACTCAACAGGTAGAGTCTACCACACATGACCTACTGAAAACTGGAAGAGGTAATAATCTGGCAGAAAATGAAGTAAATAATGGGGTGTAGGGTTAGGGTTGGGTTTGGGGTTGGGGTTGGGGTTGGGTTAGGGTTAGGTTTAGGGTTAGGGTTGGGTTTGGGGTTTGCCTTGGGTTTTCAGGTATCCCAAGGCAGTAGGCGGTTGGGTTTGGGGTTGGGTTTAGGGTTGGGTTTGGGGTTTGCCTTGGGTTTTCAGGTATCCCAAGGCAGTAGGCACAGACCAGAATCTGCCCTGCTTCTCAGCTGTGTGAATTCCAAGCTGCGTCAAGCCTGGAGCTCTACGCTGGAGCAGTCTGGTCAGAGTGGCTGAGCCACGTTCATGAGTTTGCTCCGAGGCTGGGATTCCTGGTACAAGACAAACTGCAGAAGAATCTAGGACCAGTGCACAGCACAGTTTATGGGGGTCTCAGAAAGGTCCAGGGCCACTCACTTAATTGAACCCTCCTGGAATAAGGCAGCTAGACTTAACTGAAAAAAAATGAGATCAAGCATTGAACAGGAGAAAACTTTTTTTAATGGAAATTGTTCTTTAAAATTACCTCATGTGGGGGGAAAGCTGCTATATATGAGCCATTGTTTATAAGTTTACAGATACCTGGAAAGAGAAGAATAGAATAGTACCTGAGTTAGGTTAATTGAAGAATTCCCTCTGAAGCAACGCACATAATACTTGGATCAATAAATTAATTTTAAAACAAAATATCCCAAATTACTTTCATAGCCGTACCACCTACAAGGATAGTGACACTGTGAAAGAGACTGAATCTGAGTCTAATTGTGTCCTTATAACAATAATAAAAGGAGCTTTGCAAGGTGCTAATGGATGGCACTTTGCCATATCATGAAATGTGGGCATTTTAATACCAACTTATTTGAAGGCAGATGAACCTGGAACAACTTGTTTTTCCTCAAAACAAAATTTGGTCAAGGAAGCAGAGGAATTCCCCACTCCCAAAAATGTCTCAAAAGGAGATTGTGTATCAAGAAATGTTTAATTCTTTAATGCTGACACAAAGAGAATAAATAGCAATATGGGACTCTTTTTAAAATCTCTTTTGACCCAATGAGAGTGTCGTGAAATGGACTCTCTCATATCGTTCTGGGAAGACTAGATATTGATAAAACTGAAGAGAATTTTTTTCCAAAGAGAAATTTTTATTGCAATATCATTTATATTAGTAAAGAATTAGAAATAATTATACATCCAAAATTGGGGAATTGCTTCATTATTATGGTTCAAACAATTATATTAGTGCTTGATAAATGACTGCAGTTTGATGAATGCTTATAACAGAGTATTTATAGCTATTTACAATAATGTTTTCAGGCATATTAAGGGTTTGAGAAAATATACCTAATGGTAATTTTGAAAAGGACAGAAAATTATAAACATTGGATGATTCTAATTATGAGATATATATGTGTGTATGTAAATTTAGCACTATTTTGTAACAGTGCCAATTTTTAAGTTTTATTTTTATACCCTTCTGTGTTTATTGCATATTTGACAAAGCGCATGAATCATTTAAATGTCAATTTTATCTTTAAAGACTACATAAGCACATAGTGCTATCATTTAGACACATTTGTAGTTTATATTCTGGATTTCTCTATAGCTCTTATTTAGAAAACTTCTGATTAAGTGTCAAAATTTTAATAAGGATTTAGTGCTTAAATTAATTATTTTGACTGCTTTATAATAAATTAATTATTAATCAAAAGAGAACCAAAGTCTGACCATTCCTCTTTGGATGACTTGAAACATAGTTCATTTTACTAATGTGGCATTCTATTTGAATGCAAATTAGTAGATATTGGTACAAGTTTCCATTAGCTATCAACTCTTTAAAAAGTTTTAGAATATGACTAACACTCTATTCCTTCAGCCATCTTTTTCATCCTAACAAATGGCCAGCTCATCTGTTACCTGCTATTTTCTGCTTTGCTCTGTGTAAACTTTGCAATTTTACTTAATTTTCCCTGGTGAAACTTTCTCAATTTTCTGTTGCATCAGACATGCTGTAGCACAGTGCTAAACATTCATATAACACAGATATTTAGAAAGCTAAAGTTAGGTATAATCTCACCTTTCAGAAATAATCTCTAAACTATATCATATATGTCTAGATTTTTCTTTTCATCTGTGTTTAGGAAATGGAATTATAATAGACTTAGAGTTTGTAATAATTTTTTCAATTTAATAATTGCTTTCAGATATCTTTCAAAGTCAACAAATAGAGAACTAGTACTATTCTCAATCTCCATCAGTAAAGGGTCTATGTCATATACTTTTTATAATATGTAGAGTATAATAGATGCTGAATACATTCGAGTTGAGTGAATAAAAGCACATCATTTTTAATGGATACACTATGTGATATAACCCAGTGGACAAAGTATCTCCAATATTATTCTACTCTATTTTCTGTTTACAAAGCCACAGTGGACAAATATCTACATATATCACTATTCAAGAGTCAGATTTTTTTCTTTGGAATAAATTTCAAGAAATAAAGTCTATGTTCCAAAGTTTTTGCACAGTTCACATTTCAATACATGTTGCCATATGCCCTTAAAAAAGCTTTATTTTGTTTTCTTTCATTAAAGGCTAAAAAATAGAAGGTTGAGAATTTGTTCACTGCATATCTAATGCAAGAAAGCAAAGCTTCAGTAGTCAAAAAATGATTCTGAGTGTAATTAGTAAAAGTAAATACCATATTGTGTTTTGAATTGGTGTTCTTACCCACTTTTGATATTCCATTTTCATATTTGGTATGCTGCAGCATGTGATAGACTATTCTGCTTCGAGTAGCATTGCTGAAGAAGGTGTCCTTATTGTTAATTATGAAGCTGGGAAGATTAAGGGGATTGGTTTTAATATTCAAAGCAGATCACAGAATCTAGCAACAATTATAAGGTCCTGGGTAGTCATCCATGCATTTTCCCCTTAAAATTAATGCATGGAAAGTATAGTAAATCAGAAGAGAAACCCTCCTCTTAAAAGAAAATCATTTGGCTACAGTTATAAATAATACAGGGCATTATCAAATATTCATTTTAATATCTTTCAGTTTATAAGGAAGCCTAGATATCCTCATATTTCTTGCTGAGCATGAAACGAGAAGAGATTGCCTTTCGCCTCCCATAAATTTTGTACCACCTTAAGCAATGTGGCTCCAAACAGAACACATTAACTATTGATGTCATTCCCCCATACTGCACTTTCCCAGAGAGGAGTTAGCTTATTTTGTTTTCAGTACTTTAGCGATGAGCAATGTTTCTCCCTTTCCCTTCATGTCCTGCTCTCCCAATGCAGAAAGAGTTGCATGAAATAAATGTGAGAGCCAATTATGTAAAGAGCAAAAGGGTGATTTCAAGAGATGCTGGGAGAAAAGATATGGGAACTCACTGGTGAATCCGTGCACGGCTGAAAGGGCCAGTATAGCAGTCTGAATCCTCCAGGTCTGGGAAAGCTGACTTGTCAAGAACCATTGGGTTTTGGGACATCCATTTTTTGATTCTCCTAAAATATTTTTGCACCCTGGAACAAGGTCACATTTTTTAACTGAGTTAGGTTGCATTCCAGAGTCATGAATGTCTACCTTTCACTATTATTATGAAAAAGAGTTTCCCAAAGACATACATACATCCACACTTATACCCACACACATATATTATTTCTGTGCTCACACAAAGGAAATAAATTCCAAAACAAACCAAATCTTGCATTTATTTAAATTCTTTCAGGGCAACTAGGTTATCCTCATAAGAAAAGTCTTGTGGGAAAATATTAGAAACTCATCATGTATAAAGATGGGGTAGGAAAAAGCATAAAGAATAAGACCAGTGAGGTTATTTATTAAAGTTGTGTGTATACATGTATATATATCTATATATGTGTGGCTACAGATCACTTTAGAAAATCTACAGCAATGTGGCTCCACAAACGTGGAGACTGAAAAGGAAGAAATGGCTCCAACATACCCAACACACTCAGTTTTAGGAGCCACAGGTCCTATGGGACCAGCAAGGGTTTTGGAATCAAGAAAAATTGGGTTCAAAGGCAGCTCTGCATTATGGTAGCTGTGGGGACAAGTTATTTAACTTCTTGCCTTGGTTTCCTCACCCATAAAAGTAATCGCACTGCCATTGCTAGACAGTTGTGAGTTGGTGTTTTACTTTAAACTTGATTATTAACAACAAGTAAAGTTGAGCCAAGGAGCCTTTGTGGTACTTTCAGGATTTTAATGGACAGTTAAATCACCTGAATATCTTGTTAATTCAATAGATGCTAATTCAATAGGTTTGAGTTCTGAGACCCTGCATTTCTAACTAGCTTCTGTGGTGCTCATCCTGCTATCCATAGACTCAGCTATATTATACTTATAAAAATGTGCTATATTTACACACTATGAGGTCTATCTTTGGCAATTTTTGGCTTCTTCTGTAACAGTAAGTCAAAGTGGCAGAAAAGAATATTTTCCTAGAGAAGTACAATGTCTCTTAATATTTGTTTAGCCAACTCTGCTTGAACTTTAAAAAATTTAGTATAACAATCTGCAGGCAATGACTGTATCTTAGAAATTATTTCACTAAAGTCTATTATGGTAAAAATACCATGTATAATTTGAAACAACCATCAACTCTTGATGTTAAAGTTTAGCATGTAAAGAATTTGGGCCTTTTCTTTGCCAAATAAGGTTATCATTTAGATGCCAAATCTTTTTTGGTTTTGCAGGGATCAGAGTGTTTCTTTCTAGCCTAAAATAACACATTAACATTATCTGAAGAGTCTTTTTTGTTTCTTCGTATTACAAAGAAAGTCTCTGAAATCACAAAATATCACCACATTCTAGCCACTTGTGCAGACATGTAAAAATACTGAGTGTGTTATAAAGCAATTATTCTAACTTTTGAAATTCAGCCTAGTGAAGAAAACAATGGTATAGAAGCTGGAAGATGAATTTGCCAGTCATAGAAACTGAGCCAAACATTTCCAGTCTTTGAGCTTTAGGTCCCTCATCTGTAAAAACGGGAAGTAATTCCATCTGTCCTACTTCATTAGGTGGCTAGGAGGATCAAATAAAAGAGGCATCTGATGACAATTAGAAAATGCTGATAAGCTACAGGACTCAAGGGCCTATTATCTCTGACAAAATTAGACAAATGAAATAAAGTGACTTTTAGAGCATCATTGACCTTTTAAAGAAAAATAAATCATATTATCAGTTTAGGCCTTTCACACACTTCCTGTGAAGGAAAAAAATGATGGCCGATAGTGAAATGCAGTCAGATCAGTTCAGTTCAAGTCAGTCACTCAGCCGTGTCTGACTCTTTGCGAACCCATGAACTNGTCTTGTTTTTGCTGACTGTATACAGCTTCTCCATCTTTGGCTGCAAAGAATATAACCAGTCTGATTTTGGTGTTGACCATCTTGTGATGTCCATGTGTCAGGACATGTCCAATGCAGTCATGATTGGATCTGAATCACAGGATGTGAAGATCTAGTTTATTACTTAATTTCTTTGATTCTCATTCAGTTTTCTGATCCTTTAAATGAAGGGATATCCAGATAGCTAAATAGGTAAAGCCTGACCCTACAGTGCAAAGTGAAGACTCAATAAAATTATGACATTAATAAGGAAAAGGAATATCACTACTACTTCTATAACCACCACAACCACCCCCAGGCCATCAATGCAATCTAATGTATTAGTGACACTCTACCAAACCAGATAATCATCATGGTGTGATCATTCACCTAGAGCCAGATATCCTGGAAAGTGAAGTCAAGTGGGCTTTAGGAAGTATCACTACTAACAAAGCTAGTGAAGGTGATAGAAATCCAGTTGAGCTATATCAAAGCCTAAAAGATGATGCTGTGATAGTGCTGCACTCAATATGCCAACAAATTTGGAAAACTCAGCAGTGGCCACAGGACTGGAAAAGGTCAGTTTTCATTCTAATCCCAAGAAAAGCAATGGCAAAAAATGTTCAAACTACGACACTTTTGCACTCATCTCATACACCCACTAGCAAATAATGCTCAAAATTCTCCAAGCCAGGCTTCAATGGTACATGAACAATGAACTTGCAGATATTCAAGCTGGATTTAGAAAAGGCAGAGGAACCAGAGATCAAATTGCCAGCATCCATTGGATTATTGAAAAAGCAAGACAGTTCCAGAAAAACATCCACTTCTGCTTTATTGACTACACCAAAGCCTTTGACTGTATGGATCACAACAAACTGTGGAAAATTCTTAAAGAGATGGGAATACCAAACCAGCCGATCTGCCTCCTGAGGAATCTGTAGGCAGGTCAAGAAGCAACAGTTAGAACTGGACATGGAACAACATACTGGTTCCAAATTGGGAAAGGAGTATGTCAAGGCTGTATATTGTCACCTTGCTTATTTAACTTATATGCAGAGTACATCATGAGAAATGCCAGGCTTAATGAAGCACAAGCTGGAATCAAGACTGCGAGAAATATCAGTAACCTCAGATACTCAGATGAAACCACCCTTATGGCAGAAAGCGAAGAACTAAAGAGCCTTTGAATGAAAGTGAAAGAGGAGAGTGAAAAATTTGGCTTAAAACTCAACATTCAGAAAACTAAGATCATGGCATCTTGTCCCATCACTTCATGGCAAATAGATGGGGAAACAGTGGAATCACTGAGAGACTTTATTTTGGGGCGGCTCCAAAATCACTGCAGATGGTGACTGCAGCCATGAAAATAAAAGACGCTTGCTCCTTGGAAGAAAAGTTATGACCAACCTAGACAGCAAAATAAAAAGCAGAGATATTACTTTGCCAACAAATGTCCATTTAGTCAAAGCTTTGCTTTTTCCAGTAGTCATGTATGAATGTGAGAGTTGGACTGTATAGAAAGCTGAGCACCGAAGAATTTATGCTTTTGAACTCTGGTGTTGGAGAAGACTCCTGAGAGTCCCTTGGACTGCAAGGAGATCCAACCAGTCCATCCTAAAGAGATCAGTCCTGAGTGTTCATTTTCCAATGAACTGATGCTGAAGCTGAAATTCCAATACTTTGGCCACCTGATGTGATGAACTGACTCATTTGAAAAGACCCTGATGGGTGGGAAAGATTGAAGGTGGGAGGAGAAGGGGACAACGGAGGATGAGATGGTTGGATGACATCATTGACTCAGTGGAGATGAGTTTGAGTACGCTCTGGGAGTTGGTGATGGACAGGGAAGCCTGGCGTGCTACAGTCCATGGCGTTGCAAAGAGTCACACACAACTGAGCAACTGAACAACAACAACAAAATGCTTATTTTTAAAACAAAATGCTTGAACTGTATTTTTATATATATTTCCTATCGATCTGCCTAGAGAAACAATGATCTTCAAAGCCTGGATAATTGCCTGTACCTATTTATCCCCTAATGTTTATTGGCCAAATTACCCATGCACAAAACATTTCTCCCACATCAGAAAAGGGAAAGCAGAAGTGCCATCCAAGTGCACACATCTGACTTTTGCTTCCCTCTTTCCAAATGTCTACAAATTGGGTTTTATAATTTTATAACAATGATGACCCCTGCACACACACACACACACACACACACACACACACACACATTTAACTTTACTTTTCCAAAGGTCAAGTTTTAATAAAAATCAAAACCAGTCATTTCCTTAATTGAAAGTATAAACTCAAGCAAATACCAAGGCAATCATTTTTTTCAGTTTAATATCATGTACTTTATAAATTTTTCTTTTCCTATTTGTTACCCTCCTCATATGTATCCACTAACTCAAGAACAAAGAAAACTATTTGTAATATGTAAATTGTAAGTCAGTAAGCTAGAGTAGTACTTAAGATAAATTAACAATCATTTGGAATAACTGATAATCTTATTTTCATTTCATAAAATGAAAGAAAATATAATAAACACAAAAGAAAATAAAATATATTATGACACATAATATAGTGTTCATTGTTCTAGTTTACTTCTGTTTGACCAAAATAGAAAAGAAAAGCATTTTTTCCACTATTAAAAATGTTAAAGAAACAGAATTTAGAATACACATTTATTAGGAATTCTAAACACAACTTTATTCTAAAACTAAATTATGACGGCATTATATAGACATTTGTTGCCAATTTAATATACAGGGCTTTATCCTTCTGTGTCTCTGAAAGGAATATACCTGTATAACAGAAAACCCGCCACTTACATAGTGGCAAAAATCCTACTAATTCTATATAGCACCCAGAAGTAAACCCAAACATATTTTCTCAACACAATTCAGTATTAATCAGGCATGTGTAGAAAAAAACCTGCAGTTGTATAATTATATAATATTCCATTGAATTTGACCTTGTTATGCAAAAATAACTTTGGAAATTTGCTATATAGACCAGGAACAAGTGAACACAAGGGAAATCATGAAAGCTCACAGTTACTCTGAATATGTCAACCTGACAAACAGAAAAATCTGACCTGCTAAGAAACATCATTAATTTTATTAAAAGCCATCTAAGTACTAATTCCTTTTAACATTCATTCAAATTTCAAGTTTTCCCCCCACGATTTACTTTTCTTGTCACCTATTCCAACCACACTTAAATTTAGTGTTTAAAGGAGTATACTCTTATACTCTTGAATACAAAAATTTCCTATTTTAAAATTCCAAATTATATTTAGATATTTCTTTGGTAAAAGAACTAGATTTATTAAATTCTTTCTTTAAATGGTCAGATATTTACACTGTGTTTTTCTAGTTTTTGTGTCATTCTGATTTGCAACATCCTGCAGTATCATTTACTACATGATACTACTACTACATGACATTCACATTCTGCTTTGGTTAATTGATTTCTTTGCAAGGAGCAGAACAGTCAAATATCATAAGCCTTTTGTTTGTAGAGTTCATTAAATGAAAGCTCATTTCCTCTGGTGAAAATGGGCCAAGGCAATTCAGGTGGGAGGGTTTCTTGTGTCTCAGGGTTATGTTTTAATTAATTCCTTTGCCATAGCTACTGTTACCACAATATGTAAGGAGATGTTGTTTTGAGATAAAGCTTTTAAAAAGAAGTTCACTTTCAATACCAGGACTGAAAAAGAGTCAGCTTCAGCTAGTGGAATAAAAGTAGGTACGTGATACAAAAGATGCTGTATGACCTTGGGAAACCACTTCATCACTCCGGATGCTAATCTTTCTTTTACCATCTTATCAATAAGAGGCTTGGACTAAATGATCCAGAACGTCTCTACTGTGTCTATTACTTTGGTGGGTCATCATTTACTTATCGATCCTGGTTTTATAACTATTTTTAAAATTAAAATCTCCTAAAACACTAACTAGCAATTAAAATCCTTGTTCTATAATATTATATAAAGGGAAGATTGTAGGAATGGCAATGGTAAACAGAAAACAATAGATCATGATTTTAAGCATTATTAAATTTGGCATAATCACTTTGGAAATCTCTTGAATAAATAATAAAGTTCCCCTTTCTAAAATTTACAACTGCTGTTACAGATAATCAAATTCATATTTAATTTTTTTTCCCGAATGACAAATTGGTTGTAAACAAATTACATATCACCCACCAACCTGCCCATTGATTTGCTTCTCCGGTCAGTGTAATAGGATTTTTTCCTAAAAAAAGAAAGAAAGAAATCAGCTGAGGAAAGTCACATGAAAATGGTGAAATCAGGGAGTGACAACATTCAATTATACTGAGCATTTCAATACTCTCATTTTCACATGCTAAAGAAAGACATGAAATAAAACAGTAACAGGAAGAATATTTCCCAGGTGTCTCAGTGGGTAAAGAATCATCCTGCAATGCAGGAGATGCAGAAGACATGTTGTTCGATCCCTGGATTGGAAAGATCTCCTGGAGGAGGACATGGCAACTCACTCCAGTATGCCTGCCTGGATGATCCCATGGACAGAGGAGCCTGGTGGGCTACAGACTATGGGGTCGCAAAGAGTCAGACACGAGTAAAGTGACTGAGAACACAAACAAATAGGAAGAATGGTGAATTTGCATTGTTTTAATTTCAGAATCGAAGTTACTAATAACAAAGACACTTCATAAATCAATAGATCATTTTTGAGTATTTTATTTTTATTTTTTTAAGTTTTAAAAAATATTTATTTGGCTGTTCCGCGTATTAGTTGCAGCATCTGGGATCTTGTTCTCCAACCAGGTATCAATTCAGGTGCTCTGCAATGGGAGTTCAGAGTCTTAGCCACTAGACCATCAGGGAAGTCCCTTAATTCTCTTTTGAAAGTCTGTCTTCTGCTACACAATACATATTAATCAGAGCATATGCTTACATGTTATACGAAGTCATCTATCCATCTAAACACATATGTACTGAATATTTCTGATATTGCAAAGAATTATAACCTTAATATTAGAATTATTTTATAATTAAATTATAACCATTAAAAATTTAGAGAAAAAAGAGGGTCTTTACCATTAAAAAGCTACTTTACAGTTGAGAAGACAAGTGATAGTTATAATAAAGTGTGATAACACAGTAAAATAGAGAGGGCTATAGAAGTGCCTAGGAAGGGATCTCACTTAGCTTTTGTAGATGTAGGAGAAAGGAGACAGGGAAGCCTTCTTCCCTGTGTGTTATCTGTATTGAGTCTTAAATTCAACCTTGTTGAATGACAGGAATCTTCTAAAGGGAGTACTTAGGACACAGCATTTTAGCCTGAGGTAGCAGCATATGAAATGGTAACGGGAGCAAGTGAACCATTGTAAAATTCAGGGAATTTTTACTAATTTGATAATTGCCAGCATATAAACTGCAAGTTGAGGATCATAAAGAGGTGAGGGGATAATGAATAAGGCATATATAATGAAGGATCTTAACCACTGATGCTAAGGTTTTGGGCTGAAAGATATTGAGTATATTAAGTAAGTGTGTACCACTCTGATTTTTGAGAAACTAAATATTTTAATGACAAAGGTTCATCCACCCTCTAGAAGATTCTCACTAAATCCACATCTTGGAACTCAAGAATCTCATTCAGGGCCTTCTAAAATGCTTCTTTACCCCCACCCAGGAAAACCCATTCCAGAGAATCAGAAGACTCCTCTGAAATGTGTGTTGTTTCTAGAAAGCAGGACTGACAGTCAGTACAATTGATATTTAGTCCTGTATTATTAACTGCTTAGAAAACCTGAAAACATTCTGAGCTGCTGTAATTCACAGCAATCACCAGTCACGAGCCTAGAAAAGAATTTTAACTTGTCCCTGACATACTCTAACACTAATTTTAAGTATGGAGCTTGAACGCTTGCTCTGCTTATCCTAAACTCACATTTTAAATACCACTTCTTTCATTTTTTTCAAATATACACAGGTTTGTGTGCATATGTCATTCACTCCCTATTGGACTATAAACCCATCTTCACTCTAAAACTCTCATTATTATATAACTTTCACTGACTATCTTCTATAGGAGATTGGGCTTCTTAAAGATGGCAGTTTCAGTTCATCTGACTTTGTGTATATGGTATATCCTTTGGTAAATAGTAATGAGGGTTCCCATGACTGATGAATAAATGAATGAGCTTTTAACTCACAGCTGCATTTATTTCCTTCAGTGCCTGAGGGTACTTTGAATTTAATAAACATTTACTAAATAAGGTATATCTTTTATAAACTACAAATGTAGAAATTGGTTTAAAATAATTGTCAGCATCAAAAAAATCTATGAATGTGATTAAGAAAAGATAAGGATTATGATTATAATTATCAGTTGTGGATATGGTAAGGAATAACATAAAAGGACAAGGAAATATTTAGACTAAATGTTATTCTCTTTTTATTGTTACTATTTTGAAGCATTCTTTTAATCATTTAAAAAAAATTTTTGAAATGCTTTGGGAGAAATAAAAAACAAGTGAAGGAAGAAAATCATACAAGATGAATACACATGGTTTTTAGACCGTAAAAACAAATAAAATTAAGATACTTTTCCCAATTAAATAACATTCTAATTACCAGTGAAATCTAGAATGAACTATGTGTGACAATTAATGCTGTCAAGTCCTCTTACTTGAGGATTGGGGTTACTGTTTATCTTGAGGACATGCCCATAATGACTTGTATCTGCGCAGCTGTATAAAAGGGTGAGCTTTCTTTCTGTCTTTGCAATCTCAGTGAATTTCCTGTGACGCAAGCCGCGTTTTGGTTTAATGCTTATTCATGATAAAAAGGGTGATCTTTCTCTTGTATCTTTGTGGAGAAGTTTCTTTGCTTGGGGAAGATTTAGTTTTTAATTACATTCCCCTAACATATACAAATGAATCTTTAACCCACTCAGTCAATAATAACCTGCAATTTTCCTTAGTCTTTCTGCATAAATGAACCTGCAGGACCAAATTATTTCCACATACAATCTTCATTACATAATTTATTAACTGCATATTGTTCATTGACAGAGCTTTCTTTATTTTCCCTTATTTTTTCATTTAAAAGATCCTTCTATTTTACACCTTGAAACAAGACAGCATTTATCTACTTACCTACCCACCCACTTACAACAAGTCACTCAAAATTATAAGTAAATCATTATCTCAATCACTGTTTCCAACCAGTGTTTCACATAGCTAGTAGCCACATGTGAAGATGTTTGCAGGTCAAAATGAGAAGGACTGTTATATGAGAGGGACCCTGGTCCCTGCTCCTTGTTAAGCAAAGCTCCTGCACTTTTATCTATTTTATACATTGGGCTCTCTGTATCTTATTATGTCATTTTATTTTTGAGTGAGTTATTCTTTGCATACAAAGGTGATATAAGTTTATTCCCAACTATAATAAAAGGTTGTTCTTAGTCATTTAAAAAAATTCTCCCAAATTTGCTATGATTAAAATATTTGTGGGAGGAAAAGCTTGAGGAAAGATGGAAGGTTGACCCCATATTGAACTCAGTCTGAGAAACTACAGATGACTGAATCATCTTAAATAGGCTTGACCATTTTAATGTGAGAAGGGTAAAAATGAATATGAACCACCTTAAATAAAAAGAAAAATGATGAAAGTGGGAATTGATATTTATGGAATATAGAAGACATGAAAGTCATTCCTGATAGAATAAAAGGTAGAAAATGTGGGATATTTTAATTCTCAGGTTGTGTGTGGTTTTTTTTTTTTTTTTTTTTTTGGTTAGTTGTGAAACATCAAGTCCAGTACGCAGGCCATTTTAATCAAGAAAAGAAATAGCTAGAAAATTTGGATATATAAAATTCTATATATGCCAAATATTCAAGCATAGGCTCTAGATAAAATGTTGAAGTTTTGTGTTCAAACAGTAAGTTAGCAGAAAACTTTTGTAGGAAGGGTTATAACTCTAATAATTTTCTCTGAATAAATTTGCAGCTTTTCTTTATGGAATGCAATATAGATTTCAACACTGAATAAATATATGGAATAGTCAAGCATGGGTATGTCCCTCTTGCATAAATCTTTTAAAAAATCTTGTCTTGAAAAGAGATATGCATTTTTCCTATTTAAGTTCTTTGATGTCCATGCATTTCTTAATTTTAAGACAATATCTATGTCCCTAAGTATGATAACAATTGACATTTGGAAATTGAGCTGACAATCATGAAAATACTTTGCCACTTATTCTATACCTGAATAATATTCCCTCTTCATGAGCTGACTGCTATCCCAAATTTTAGGCATACCTTATAAATAAATCAGAAGTTAGTTACTAAGGAGATGGTTAATGCTACATCTATTATTAAAGTAATATGGAAAGATGCTGCAAAAGAACTCATTCTAGAATTCCTCAGAATGTTTTCTCAAGAACATCATCATATTGTGATTAAAAAAATCCTTCATCAGATGAAAATTGGAAAGGCTGCTCTGTGTAACTGTCTGTTGAAATTTATAAACATTATAAGAATTATAAAAATATTAAAATCTTCAAGACAATATTTCTCTACCAACTATAACAAAATCACTTGGGATGCTTGTTAAAAACGTTTATACCCAATCTTATCCTACACCCAGAGATTCTTTACTTTTGCTGAGTTTCCCAGGTAATTATGATGTGTTCTGAAGACTGAGAACCACTTCTCTAAAAATTCCTACAGCAAGAAACTTATTGTTTAACTTAGAATTTTAAGAACGTATTTGGTCACAGGATATTTTTCTTTTACTTTCTCTTGAACCAGTGTTCTTCTGGTATACTTTGGAAAAGCTATACATTTTCTAATATTTATATTATTAAATCAAAAGAATCACAATTGCATTTTCCAAAGTTTCAGTAATATAGAAATTGTAAACATTATCTTGAAAAACATAAAGAAGAAACTTCAGCCACAGCATCAATGAAAAGAGACAGTAACTATATATATTTCATATTTCTTTCTTTTGATGTATAACTCTTCTTTCAAATGCAATCTTATCAGAAAATAAAAATGAATATCATTTATAACAGCAAAACCATTCAACTAAAAAAAACCTCTTATTTAAAACATCTCCTGGAATAGAAGGACACTATGGCACACAGATTGAAAACCTAATTATTTAACTCATACAAACTGAAGATGCAACCTGGCAAAGTAACGGTTTTAAAGAACTTCTAAGGAAAAGACACAAAGAATTAATTTTGACGCAGATTTTTAAAAACATTATGAGAATATTGATTATTCTTTTAATTAGAGTTCCTCAATAGTTATCTGAAAAGTCAAGAGTAAGGGAAATGAGAGGAAAAAGACCAATATGCTCTTAACAGATTTTCAATTTTTAAAATTAATACAATCTAACCGAGATTGTGGAAGGAGTTATATGAAATTTGTGACACTAGATTCTTGTGCCATTATCTTCCTGATTCACTATAGCAGAGTGGACATACTTGGATAGTTCTGTTAGGGGAAGCACACTGATTGAAACCGCTTATCCTGGCCAGGCACCACAGTAACCATCTGCATGAGTTGTTTTACAACAGGAGGTCCTGGTAAAGAACACAGAACTAATAAGCCTCCACCAACAGGAAGAGTTCCGGAAAGGTCAAAAGGAGACACCACATGTCCGACCACCTCCCAGAATCCTTCTCTCTGGCATCCATCTTGGCTCAACAAGGCGTGCACCACCAGGAAGGACTCTGAATCAGATGATTGGATAAAGACAACCTGGAAACTAATCCCATCACCATAAAACCCAAGACTGCAGCCACTTGGCAGAGCTGCTCTCCTGGGTTCCCTCACCCTCCTGCTCTCCACCCAGGTGCCCTTTCCCAGTAAAATCTCTTGCTTTGTCAGCACATGTCTCTCCTCGGATAATTCACTTCTGAGTGTTAGACGAGAGCCCAGTTTCGGGCTCTGGAAGGGGTCCCCCTTCCTGCAACAGTACTGATAAAGAAAGAAAAACCATCTCTGAAATTATGAATGTCAAATATTTGCTGCGAAGTGAACATGCTAACCAACGTTTATTTTTCATTGAAGGAAAATATAATTTCAAATTAATAATAAGTGTCTTGACCAGGAACTAAAAATCAGATGATGCCAAATTCCCCCTTGGATAGCAAAAAAGAATTCAGTCTTTTGGACCTCTGGCAGACATGTGTTTTGTATAAAGTTCAGAGGAGGTAATGGAAGCCATGATCCTTTTTGGATGAGATATTTAAACATAATATTCAGTTAACGTGAACAGAACCCGAATACTAAAATCTACTGAAATGGCATGCTTTGTGACAGTCTCTAAGGGTTTCCTCCTTTTGGATCTACAAGGCAATTAGTTTGTGCATAAACTCAACTATAACTCCTCTTAGAAACAATGGTGAGATCACAGGAATAGGGGCAGGATGAAGGCATATGAAAATTAATTTGGAATTTTTTTTAGCAATTTCAGCCTGATATCAGAAAGTAGGTTATTGTCTTGAGTGTTACACTTCTTCTGCATCTTTGTTTATATCCTGCAAGCAAATTATAACTTGCTAAAAATAAATTTGTAAGAAAATAAAATAAATAATGACCCACGAAACAATAAGGACTTCACTCCTACCCATCAGAAGCAATCATATTTTAGCATATTATACTCTCTTCCTATTTTTTTCTATTCATTTTACATTGTTGAAATCTCATTGTATAAATATATGCATATCCTATATATATTTTATTTAAATTTTACTACTTACTATTTAACCACAGTCATTAAGAAATCCTTGTAACCATTCACTTTATAAATGAGTTATTTTGCACTGCAAGGGTATATCTAATTTATATGAATCCTCTACCATTGAACATATTTACATTTTTCACAATTATAAAAAATATTTCAGGGAATGTTTTTACATATTTTTCAATTTTCTTCTTAAGATAAAATAATGAAGCCTATGAAAAGTTTTAAGTCTCACAAAAAAAATTTTAAATTGTTTCAGAATATGTTATGAAGCTTGAGTCTCACCACAAATCAACAGATGTGATTATTCACCATATCTGTGCTAGTTATGAAGGGTACTACCTGTGAAAGTGTTTGATAATTTTGTAAATTAAAATGAATCTTATTGTTTTAATTCTGCATGATTCTGTGTAGCATGTATACATACAGACCAAACAAGAAGAAATCAGATAGAGCAAAAGCCAAATATTCTCCCATTGTCAGCCTGAAATAAGTCACAGGCATGTATTTCAAAAGACTTTTTTAAGAAGGAGACATAATGTCAGGGGGAAAAAATTCCTCAGAAGTTAAGAGATGTAGAGTAGTACAGTGTTTACTTACCTACTTGTGCTCTCAAGATTGGTTCAGTAGAATGACCTGAATTGAAAGAAGTCCTCTGCAGACTTCAAACTATCTAATCACAACACAAATAATATTTCATAGGTCTTACTTGCTTCTTTCAGGGAACAAGTTTCATAAAAATGTACAAACTTCAGGTTCTTATAGATATCATAGTAATAATTTATATAAGGTGCTAAAGGATTCTAGAGGATTTTCTTTCCTGTGTTCATCTTCTTTTGTTCTTTATTTTGCTACTATTATTATTTTTGCCAAGCTCTTCAAGATATTATTTACCTATCTTATAAATATCTGTATAGAGGATTTTGAAACTTTTTCTCAAACAGGTTGTTCAGTTTCCCAGTCATGTCTGACTGCTTGCAACTACATGGACTGCAGCACCCAGGCCTCTCTGTCCCTCACCATCTCCCAAAGTTTGCCCAAGTTCACATCCATTGCATCAGTGATGCCATCTCAACACCTCATCCTCTGATAGCCTCTTCTCCTTCTACCCTCAATTTTTCCCAGCACCAGTGACTTTTCCAATGAGTCGATTTTCCCATCAGATGACTAAAATACTGGAGCTTCAGCTTCAGCATCAGTCCTTTCAATGAGTATTCAGGGTTGATTTCCCTTAAGACTGACTGGATTGATTTCCCTTGAGATTGACCCAAACAGGAATGGGAGTCAATTTAGGTATCTAATTCTAATATTGTCACTGTAAGATTCCTCAGTAGTTGCCAGTGCTTAATTAATTTCTGCTTTGTGGACAATGACTTGTGGTTGCAACTTCCAAAGCCCGAGGAGTTTCAGATGACTAAAAAGACAAGACTCTTGAGGCTTGTCATGCGACCTGAGGTTGGCAGCCCTCTCACAGATCTGGTCTCTACCATGTCTGATAAATTTCTTCACAGTTTTGAATTGCCCTCTTACTGTTCATGCAAATTCATTATCTAGAGGTTCTTTTCCTTGGCATCTTGTTACCCTGAACCATTTAAAACCTTTTTTAGCAGTTGATGAAGCATACTGAACTTCAGTGCCAGTTCACACATAGTAGAAACACTTGAATTTCACTGAGAGAGATCAGGAAGGAAAGTTATACATTCTGCATATAACACAAAATGCACAATATGGGGAAATAGGTCTATTCAATTTTTGACTTTCCTATAGTCTTGCCTAAAGGAAAGACGGAAACATCTTTGAACTGAGAAGGTCTTTCATTACCATTTATCCTTTGGCACTGAGGACAGAGCTAAGAAAGTATCTGGTTGATTTGCACCTGAGGAAAGATTCCTGATAACTGCTATACAGAGAAGAACGCTGAATCTGTATACATAAGAATGCTACACACTTACTTCTGTCACAAAAATAAGAGTTCCATCTAGCTATATTAAATAAGTGAGACTGATCTTGGGAATAGTAAGTAAAATTAGAAAACAACTATCTTTCCCTCCTTCCAGTCTAGTCCAGCTAGAAATGATATAAAGCATCAAGGAACCAGGAAGCTTACATTAGGTGAGGAAATTGGAAGGAAAGATAAAGGCCAAATTAACTAAACTTGGCAAAAAAAAAAAGCATTTCTTCTGCAAAAGAATGACACTTATTACTCTCAGGTTTTGCAAAAAACAGGCTCATCTTAATATATTCTGAGATAGAATGAAATAAAACCTGAAAATACCTGAAGGGCATCCTAATATTCAGTCTCTCTGCATACTTGCACAGTGTGTCCCATGGAATGTGAATTTTAATAAACATGATATCCGGGTTTGCAACAGCTGGCTGTAAAGGGCAACAGAACAGGTGCCAATTAGAATCAGAGCTGATAATATGCCACAATTTGACTTGACAGGGAAGAACACTGTCCCCTTATATATACAGGAATCATTATTGCTGATTTAAAAGGAATTTATATGAATAAAATTTCATAACAGAATTATCTTAATAAAAATGTTATAATGTCATTGTATGCAAGAAATAATCATCCATGTGAGTTAGCACGCTTTCTTCCTTGACCATTATTAAGATCCAGAGCCACCAACCAGAATAATCATGAGCCAGTTAGGACCCTGCAGTTATTCTGGTTGTAAACTTTCTCACGATCCTTTCTTTCCTGCTCAAGTTGGGTAGACAACACTGACAGTTATACCAGTTATTCATTCATTTATTCTTCTAACATATTTTATTTAGAAATTATTATTATACTTGTGAGAGCCTATGAAAATTCTGGGGATAAACAGAGTATAAGACCTATAAGTCCATGCCCTTACAGAACTGTCAAATTTTCATGCTTACTTGAATCTTAAAAGGCTAGTATAACGCTTCCTGCTAAGAGATCATAATAGTTTGTGTCTTTGATCTAGACAAGAGGTTTTTAAGCAAAATAAAGTGGGCATTGGGATTATCTAGGGAACTTTTAACAAACATGAGTACTCTGGTCAATTTCTTTAATCCTAAATGCCTACTTGGAAGAAACGACATGGTATGGAAGAAAAACACGGTGTTCAGAATCACAAAGAGGTAAGTACAAATTCCATTTCTATCATTTATTAACTCTAGGACCTTAGGGAAATTACCTAATTTCTCTGATCCTTGGTTTTCTCGCTTGGGAAATGGAGAGAATGGTCTCACCTCATAGAGTTGTCATGAGTCTTACGAGAGACTAGACTATAAGGAGCTCAAGTACAAGAGGTTTACTCAGAACGTTCATTCCCAGTGAGAGCATGCTTCTAGAATTAGACCATGGCCAAAGTAATGGCTATTTTCAAAGCTTCACTAGAATCGTTCTCTCTCTCTCTTTTTATTTTTCTTTTTCTCAGTAAATAGCTACTTGATTCACCTTTGGTGGAGCAGTGCCTTGGTTTTTAGGCCTTCTATAATAGGCTTTGAATTATACAACTAAAAAGCCAGTAACAACCTATGATTGGGGAAAACTCTGAAGTTGAGGACTTGAATCAAGTGATTGAAAAGTTAAATTTTCTTTGAAATAAAACTCAGTATAAATTGTAATAAAACTGTATTTCTACAGACTATAGTTTCTTTGGAAAATTTATCTTTCCTCTTTATGTATTCAAAGTGCCTTATGCTTTTATGTCATTGTTCAGTTCCTGGGGAGGTGTGGATTCCTTTTCAGCAGTTATTCAAAGACAGAGAAAAAGGGACCCTCAGGATTAAAGAAAACATATTTAGTGCTCATTTCATCCCAGAATCTGGAAATGAGACTTCTATGAAAACAAATCTAGACTCAGACACAATCAGTCTCTACCAGAACAACACATTCTACAGGATGATATAAGGTAACAACCAATCCCTTGAGAAGCGCACTGATGTTAGATCATTACATTCTCTCCAATGGTTTGAGAGTGGGGATCTCTTTTGAGGAATAAGCAGATGTTAGGACAAAAAAAAAATCATTTCTCAGGAGCTAAGCCTTATTCTGGTATGAATGGAAATCACACTCTCCCACAGAGCATCACGGTTCTTAAAACCTAGGCATGTTGGCTGCCAGAATATATTAGCAGCATGAAGAAGGAATGACTATTGCCTGCATGGGTGTTGGGAGAGACCTGGGAAGGCTTAACCTCCACCACAGGAGAGCTTGGGTTCCAAACTATCAGCTGCTTCCTAGCTTGTTCTTCTTCACAACATGTACAGCTAGAAACGGCTGCTCCCCACTTCTTCCACAGCTACTGCCCTGGTCTGTCACCACCATCTCTGATCTAGAGTCTTACAGTGTTTTCTAATAGAGCCTTTGCTCACATTCTTGCCCCCAATGGTCTACTCATAGCACAACAGCCAGAGTTATTCTTTAAAATATAACTCAGATCATTTAATTTCTCAAAACCTCATCTGAATCAGAGTGAAAACCAAAGTTTTTCCAATGACCCACACAGCCTTTTACAACCTAACCCTCTATATCTTGTTAAACCTTTCTCCTACTAATCTCCCTCTTATTCACTCTACTTCCATCATTTGGTCACTTGCTATTACTTCCCTGCTTCACCCCATCATTCTTACCTCACTCCATTTTTTAATAGTGTTTATTATCTTCTAGTGAATGAGTCTATTTTTGTAAGTGCCGTGAGAGGAGGGATATTTGTTTTGTTCATTTATGTCTACTGAGCACCTAGTTCTACGCCAGGCACACAGTGGTCATTCACTAAGCATTCATTGAATGGATGAATGAATGAATGAGTTCACTTACTTTGAGTACACATTCTTTGTAACTTGTACCTAAGCGAGAGACAATGAAGATAAGAAAGCAAATAAGCCAGAATTATTTTGGAAGAGGTACTATGTCAGGTTCAAATTAGCATCATGAATAGCTGGCTTAGCACTGATTATTAATTCAGTCCGGTCAACTCTTAAGATGTGAAAAAAATCTAATACACCCACCCAAATAAAGTAGATGCTTTAGAAGGATGTTACTGCATTAATTCTACCATCAGTGGAACATCAAGCTAAGGGCACATACAGCTAGAACATTTCTAATTTTGTATGTCTAAAATATATTAATATATATATACACACATATATATGTATATATTTTTTCCAAGCAGCATGAATTGTCTCATAACTTCTTCAACTTAATTTATCTTTTGTTATACCCCAACTAAAAAAAAATAGTTTTATTTCCTTGCAGCAGGGGGTTGGTGAAGGGATGGTGTTGGCAGAAAGCAAGATTACTTTCTCCCTTGGAATCAGAAGCTCCCAATCTGGCACTATTCTGTTTAGCTCTGATGCAGGCAGGCTTTTCCAGGGGAACAAAACACCCACAGCCTTCACACTTCACATTATTATTTAATTATTCCATCCAAAATTTTCAAGAGGTAGAAGATTCATTCTTGAGAAAAAAAGGAAATTTTAAAAATGTGTTTTTACAATGTCACTCTGCAAGTTGGTGGCAGAGAGCTGAAAAAAAAATACAGAATATGGTAGCTTGCTATACTAAGTATAAGATAAAGGTAAAATGCTGATATAATCTGGAAATACACTTGGATAACAAAGAACATATCTTGACAGAGATCATCTACCTATTCACCTGTACAATCTTCAAACATGAATCATTATCTGTTGCTGATGTGATCATCTAGAAACTATCCACATCAACATGCAATTTAAGGAGGATTTGAGATATACTCTGTGCCAGGCTCAGAGCTTAACTCTGCTGAATATAAATTTTAAAAAATGGGAACTTGTTTCCTAAGGAATACTCCCATTTTTTCTGCTAAAAATCCAATACTTGCTGACATTTTCACAATTTCATATTCCTTTTCCACCTGTGACAAGACCTAAATATTTTCAATTTAATACTTATTAAAATTAAGTTGCAAATAAAGCACACATCCTATAATACTAGAAATTTTAAGAAGAAATAAAAGTTCATGATAATACAAAACACTGGATTTGATAGTTCAGATAGCTATAACTATTTAGATGCCATTTAGTCATCAGTTAACATAAGGTTTAAACCAAAAATATATCTATGTTCTATATTATAATCATAGAGTTAAGTTTCTTTCTACGCCTACTTGCTTAAAAAGGCAATACATAGGATACTGAATTTTATAATAATGTGGTTGGCAGAATTGTAAGAAATCCTCTTAGATCTTCATGCCTTGTCTTCATCTTGAACAATCTACAGGACCTGTGAATATGATGGCATATTCAGTCTCATGATTAAGTTCTCTATGTGGTACATTTGTTTTTAAAAAAAGAGAGGTTATTCTCCATGGAAGATGATTCCCTGAAAGGAACTGTTCTTGGCAAAAGAGATTCAAAACAGCAGAGGTATACAAAGGAGAGTGTCGTTGCTGGTTTTCCACATGGGTGGGGAGCATGCAGCAAGGAATGAAAATGGCCTTTAGGAACTGAGAGAGGTACCTGGCTTATAGCTAGCAAGGAGATGTGGATTTCAGTCCTACAACCACAAGGAACTGAATTCTATCACAACTACATAAGCTTGAAAGAATACCTTAAGTTCCAGTTGTGAATGCAAGCCTATTCAACACACGGATTTACGTCTTACAAGAAACAGAGCCAAGAGCTGACCATACCCAAACTTCTGATCTGCAGAACTGTGGGCTAACAAATGGGTTTTATTCTAAGCTGCTGAGTGTGTGGTGATGTGTTAAGCAACAATGGAAAATTAATAACAATAGCACTGAACAATTTCTTCATTAGAAATTTTATGACTATTTTTTCATATATAAAAGTAACCTGCTTATTTCATATATAAAGTTAGCATGCTTATTACATAAATATGTTTTGTTCACTTAAACTGTTTTTTGTTGATTTTACACATGAACATTGTGATAATTAATCTAGTCCTAATTAACTCAACTGTTTAAAAAAACAATGTTAATACTCTTAGAATTAAGAATATAAGTAAACATACCTTTGACAACCAAAAAAAATAATTGCAGAAAATTAACTTTAAAATACAATTAAGGAATCTTAATTTTCCCTGATATTACACTTGATATTCTAACTGTATACTGGATCTCAACCTTAATTTTCACCTAAAGGCCTTTCAATTTTTTTTTAACTCATCTATCTTCTGTTTCCTCAATCTTTCTCTTCTATTTCTTTCTCTCCTTGCATCTCTCCATTCACCCTTCCTTCCTCCTCATTATTTAAACATCACATACAAGAAAAAAAAAAAAAACAGAAAGAAAGAACTGAAACCTCATGAGACCTTGTTTCCATCTCGGGCTATCACTCTTCACCCTTCCATTCACAAATGAGCAAACAGATGACATTTGCTACAGCCTCTATTTTTCCATTATCCAGTCACTCTTCAATGTGTCCCAGTCTAGCTTCCAAGTCTATCTCCTCAGAGAAAAGATTCTCACTGATTTTACCAAAGATCTTCATATTCTCCAAGTAACTGGGCCTCTTTCTTGTCTCACTTGACTTTGAGCAGTATTTAACCCTGGTAACCACTCTTCTCTGTGACTCCTCATCTCTTCTACTTCCACCTACATCCAACAACTTCAATCATTTATTCTCCCCTCCTACTTTTTATAGGCTCACTTTTAGCCTCTTTTTTTTTTAATCATTCTCTCCAATGATTTCATACTAAAACACAGCTTATATTACCACCTATGTTCTAAAGATTAAAGCATTTACCTTCAGTTTAGATTCCTCATTTGAGCTCTAGACACAAATTTCAAACATGCTTACTGAAATATTAAAACCTAGATATTAACAGTTTGGCAGACTTGTTTCTTTGAACATTTTGCTTTTCTTTTCATAGAGTTTTGTACTTTATACAGGATTATTCCTTCTTTAATTAAAAAAAATGTAAAAACAACTATGCCCTTTGCAAAATATTTAAATTTCCAGAAATGTATAGAGTAAAAAAGGAAAATATTTTAAAATATGACTATACATATGCATTTCTTTTACATGTGGGAGAAAATTGCTATATATTTTAAAAAGCCATATGTTATACCTTTTATACTAAAATGCAAAATATCATATCTCTTCCAGCATATTGTATCACATAGCTAATATTATTAAAGCACCTACCTCCTTTTCTAACATTAAGCCTTCTGCTCTGAGGTTCTTTTCAAATGTGTTTCTTTTGTCATATTGTATATTTGACTTTCTATAAACCAGGATGTAATCAATCCGCTTTTTGCCATCTTTGAATAGAAGTCCACTGGATGCTATGTAATTCATGTCATTCTGCAAATAAAGTAATGGTTGTTAATAGTGTGGGTTGGATAAGCACACACATTCAGTTTTCAGACACTTCTGTTCAAATATTGTCAATCCAATGTAAAAATGTATTTTTTACATTCCAATTATGAGACATGAAAAGATCATTTTAAAAGCTTTCACCTTACAGTAGAAAACAAGCTACCAAGTGATGTTCTAGGATTTGAAATTAGTCTGACACCAGAACATGGATTCTCTGATGTTAGCATCTAAAGGTCTATGTTTTATTCAATAAAACACTATAAGAACAATAACAGCCATATACATTGAACATTTGCTCAAAATCAGGCCCAGACATAGATGTTTTACATGTTTTATCTTACTCAAAACTCAAACTTGCCTTTCAAAAATAAAGACAACGAGGCTTAAACAACATAGGTACTGAGAACTGAAATTAACATAATTTCCTCCATGAAATAATAATCAGATGAGACATTATTTTCCTGAACCTATGTTCAACAACACCAAACAATAATTTCTGAACTGCTTGTTCCAAGAAATACTTCCCCCCAGAGTATAAGACTATGATCTGACAACAACCGCCTACTTACTAAGACTAACCATGTGCTTATTAAGACTTCTTTAAGGTACTCACCTTGCTCTGGCCACCTACCCCAGCTGTTTTTCATAAATGCTGCCCAATTTTCAACCAACTGCCTGCCTTGCAAGATTTACCTTAATATCTACCAGCCCAGGTCCTAGAACCCTCTGAAAACTCCTTCCCAACTTCATCTTTGTAAAACACTACTAAGGCTCCCAAGATGATATCCTTACTTGCTATAACTTTAATAAAATTAATTTCAGTGATCACTTGATTTTTGTAATGGCCTTTTTCTGGGGGAGCTGGCACTTTGCCAGTAAATGGCTCAATATTACTTTAATTCAATTTTTATTCCTGGTCCATGTTTTTTAGCTATTAGATACATTATCCTTCTTTTTCCATGTTTCCTATCAAGCTATTTGATTATCTGTACCAAATCTCTGTCCCATTTTTCCCATACAGGCATTCTTGAGCTTAAAACATGTCCTAACATTTTGAGAGTTAACTGATAATTTCAAAAAAAGGCATCTCAAACTTCTTTGGAGGAGCCTGCTTAGAACACATATGCAGCTTAAGGTTTAAAGAAGTGAGGACCAGAGTAACCTAGTGGCCAAGTCATCCAAGTGAAGCAACAAAAACTGATATCTGAGTGATTGTAATCCTACAGGAGGTCAGGTGGCTCAGGAGTTGTCTTCTTAGAGAAAATAGGTTCAAGTGTGTGAACTCAGGGGTACTAGAGACTCCGGTATTCTTGCCTGGAGAATCCCAAGGACAGAGGAGCCCGGTGGGCTGCCATCTATGGGGTCGCACAGAGTCAGACACAACTGAAGCGACTTAGCAACAGCAGCGGCAGCAGCAGAGACTTCCAGGTTCAAGGACAAGAAGACTTTACAAATTTTTTTCTCCAGTGAATAAAAAGGTCTTGAGACTCCCAGGATTATTTTATTGGATACTATAACGTGGCTAAGTAACAACTCAAGCAGAGTCACCACTGCCTTGTAGTTGCATAATGTGTGCTGTTTAATCGCTCAGTTGTGTCCGACTCTTTGCAACCCCATGGGTTGTAGCCCACCAGGATCCTCTGTCCATGGAGATTCTCCAGACAAGAATACTGGAGTGGGTCACCATGCTCTCCTCCAGGGGATCTTCCCAACACAAGGATCAAACCCAGGTCTCCTGCATTGCAGGTGGATTGTTTACCATCTGAGCCACCAGGGAAGCTCATAATAATGAAGATAATAACAGCTATCACTAGCTGACAACTTACTATGGTGCCAGGCAATGTACCAAGTGATTTCTTCTCATAATTCTTTAAGGTAGATATTGACATGAGTACATAGAAGCCAAAAAGGTTAAGTAACATCCCAGAAGTCATGGAAAAGGAAGTAGTGAAACCAGAACTCTCACCTATTTGATGGTGGTCTTGACAACCATATTGAAAAAGACAAGCATATGTAGGTACACATTACTAGGTCTGGGGCTTGGCAGTAATAGAAGGCTAACCTCTCAAAAGGCCTATGATTTATAGTTCCTATAGGGTAGAGATACTGAGGATTAATGGCTGGAGAAGACATAATTAACTTTAGACTTTAGAATGCTTTTACCTCCACCACTCCAGAGATTTCACTTGGATATCTAATGGACACCGCAAAGCTGACTGTCCAAAATGGAATTCCTTATTTTAACTAAGCAAATGTTTTCCCAAACCCTTGTCATTTTGATTGGTTGCAAACCTATTCTTTTAATTGCTCAGATCAAAAATCTTGAGTCATCTTTGTTTCCTCTATTTTCACCATTCTTACATGCAAATCATTGGAACATTCTTCAAAATATATTTAGAATCTGATCACTTTCTAACATCTTCATCACTACTCTGTTCTAAGATATGTCATCTATTGACATTATCACAATAGTCTGACTCATCTCCCAGCTTCTACTTTTGCTTCTCTAAAATCTATTCTCAGCATGACAGTTAAGACACTTGAGTGATCCTCCACATTATAAATTACATTATGTAACTCCTCTCTTTAAGACCCTTCAGCTGTTTTCCATGATACTCCACTCTTGATCCTACTTTCCTTAACCTATTTTTCTTAGCGATTATTAAATTCCAGCATGTTCAGTTCAGTTCAGTCACTCAGTTGTGTCCGACTCTTTGCAACCCCATGAACTGCAGCATGTCAGGCTTCCCGGTCCATCACCAACACACAGAACTTGCTCAAACTCATGTCCATAAAGTCGGTGATACCATTCAACCATCTCATCCTCTGTCATCCCCCTTTCCTCCTGCCTTCAACCTTTCCCAGCATCAGGGCCCTTTCCAATGAGTCAGTTCTTCGTATCAGGTGGCCAAAGTATGGGAGCTTCAGCTTCATCATCAGTCTTTCCAATGAATAATCAGGATTGATTTCCTTTAGGACTGACTGGTTTGATCCCCTTGCAGTCCAAGGGACTCTCAAGAGTCTTCTCCAACACCACAGTTCAAAAGCATCAATTCTTCAGCACTCAGCTTTCTTTATAGTCCAACTGTCACACCCAAACATGACTACTGGAAAAACCATAGGCTTGACTAGATGGACCTTTGTTGGCAAAGTATTGTCTCTCTCTGCTTTTTAATATGCTCTCTAGGTTGGTCATAGGTTTGCTTCCAACATGTTATATAACACTAAATTATTTATTTGTTATCTTTTTATTGTCTACCTTATTTTATTAGGATATAAATTTCACAAAGGTAAATAATTTCTTACTGTTTTGTTAACAGAGTATTTCAAACATCTAACTCAGAGCCAGACACACAGTAGACGTCAATAGATATTTATGGGAAGAAGGAAGGAAGGATAGAAGAAAAAAAGGGAATGGAAAGAATGGAATAATCCATAATAATGTGTATCTAGACAGGAATTACCTCAAAAATATAATGCCATTAAAAGATCATGTAGTCATTTCTCATCCTCTTTCCTCCAACATTAACACAAATCAAATTAAAATAAGATGATTGATCACAAAATTACAGCAGAACTGCAAAAGCCCTGGCTTGCCCTTTGTTTTACACTTATGACCCAGTGCCTCCAGGCATCCCCATGATAATACAAACAAAGACAGAGCTAAAATAAGGTTATATAAAATTTTTCCTCTGCATATTATTTTTCCTAAAGTATACCATCCTCTTAATACTAGTCTAGTATTAAGTATCACCTGATCTTAAATTAATAATAACATAATTAGTCCAGGTGAAAGTAAAATCTTTCAATGAGATGATCTAGAAAGCAAATTATTGGTTGGTAGGAAAATTATGAGACAGTAAGATAGCTTTTAAAATATTTTATGTGCTTTTGCAATTTTAAGAAAGTGGAACTCCGATAGTTATTATTCATTACTCTAAGATTAAGCAAAATAAATGTTAAACTACTCCAGAGAATCAACTGCCTTACAATTTGAAAATAGAAAATACTACATTTTTTATCTTTCTATATAAGTGACCTTAGGTAATATTAACAGTTCTTGTATCATTGTAAACATGTTCACAATCAAACTCTACTAACTAGGATTCTAGATTAGTATCTAATTATTCTATGATTCTAAATTATGAATAAAGAGTTTGACCAATTGATCAGACAAAAAGAAAAGTAGTTTTCAAAGTGATGATAAAGAAATATGGCAAGCAAACTCATTCTATGAGGCCACCATCACCCTAATACCAAAACTGGACAAAGATGCCACAAAAAAAGAAAACTACAGGCCAATATCACTGATGAACATAGACGCAAAAATCCTTAACAAAATTCTAGCAAACAGAATCCAACAACATATTAAAAAAATCATACATCATGACCAAGTGGGCTTTATCCCAGGGATGCAAAGATTCTTCAATATTTGCAAATCAATGTGATACACCACATTAACAAGTTGAAAGATTAAAACCATATGATTATCTCAATAGATGCAGCAAAAGCCTTTTACAAAATTCAGCATCCATTTATGATAAAAAACCCTCCAGAAAGCAGGCATAGAAGGAACATACCTCAACATAATAAAATCCATATATGATAAACCCACAGCAAACATTACCCTCAATGGTAAAAAATTGAAAGCATTTCCCCTAAAGTCAGGAACAAGACAAGGGTGTCCACTCTCACCACTACTATTCAACATAGTTTTGGAAGTTTTAGCCACAGCAATCAGAGCAGAAAAAGAAGTAAAAGGAATCCAGATAGGAAAAGAAGAAGTGAAACTCTCTCTGTTTGCAGATGACATGATCCTCTACATAGAAAACCCTAAAGACTCTACCAGAAAATTACTAGAGCTAATCAA